TTGACACTCGTGAGTGTCTTCTTGTACTTAGTTTTGATTTTGGCGTCTCCTTTCTCTCCTCTCCCTTCCCTGTTGAAAGATTCGTGGCTTCGATTCTGCTGTAGGTACGCTTCTATGGCTCCTCTTCCCTAGATAACTTTTATTTATTTTCTCCACCCCACACATTTCCAGACTGCATCGGGTCCAGCTATGATGTTCGTTTACAAATCAACAACCCAAATTTCTAAAATGTACCCACTTTGACATCGTACAACCTATGCCATTATCGAACAATGGTTCCTACCATTTTGAGATCGCACGACATGGATCTAGTCGGAATAAATCTGGAACCCCAAGAAGACTCGCGATTTCAAGATCTTGTAGGCTAGCCATGGTGGTTTTCTTTCTTTCTTTTGTTTCCTCTTTGCTTTCTCTTTAAATTCTCTGAGTTTCTCTATCATTATTAGTGGTGGTGAGGCAGAGGATAATACATTATTAAACATGAAAGTGCTAAAATCTTTATACATGCAATAACTCTGGAAAAGTGAAAAATCAAAAAGGAACAATAGATACTCGAATAATGGCCTCATAGTAATTGATAAGGCTCTTGGGCTATGGAGAAATTTAATTGAGACGCACAAACGAATTCACAAAAGACTTAATAAATAGAAATTAATTATTTTGTGGGCTTTTTCTTTAATTTTTTATATATTAAATAATAATTAAAGTAATTCAAAAAGGCTAAGATATTACTTAATAACATATATTAAATTAAAGAAGTAGGCCAAAAAACAAAAGTAAAGAAACTAATTTTATATTTTTAATTTTTTTTATAGAAAAAAACCTCTCCTTATGATAGATGGTCGACACAGGTCTACTATTACATTATTATGGTTGAAACCTTGATGTGGTACTAATTGGTTCCCATTGTGGGGGATTTTTGTTTTAATATCAATAAAAATAACCATAATTTACAATATTGTTTATATGAATAATAGCCTATATATTCTTTTCTAGTCAGGAAAACATCCCATGGTTTTCCTTCGCTAGGTCCGCAGTGTTTATTAAGCCTCAAGCATATTGTTCTCGAGGTATAACAACATGCTTATATAGAGAAGTAGGGGAAATAGGGAAGGGACATAAAATTTTATTATATTTTTTAAAAAGCTTTTGTTTATTTAATTCTTTTCTTTTGTTTATTATTTTGTTAATTTGTTTTTACAAGAGGTTGCCAAGTAATGATATGATTTACCCAAATGTGAGTGGCTCCCATTTTCTCAAACCCTCAAACAATATCTAAATCCTCACCATGTTGCACAACAAGAATGGATGTACTACCCGAAAAGGTCGAAGATACCAATGCATCTCCAAGAACTCCCATCTCATTAGCGTCGCTACATTCTAGTAACATTGTGGAGGTGTCGTTTGAGTTGCTCCCATGGCTTCTTCCAACTATGAACATATCATAGTCACCTTCCATTGCACTTATTAGTGTGAGAGTTTGCTCCCAACTTGTTACTGACTTCTCTAAATATTCTAGGGAGTCATCGCTCATTGACCTCAACCTAAACTCATCTATGAACAAGTCATCAAGTTTTTTTTGCTTCCCAGTACTTGTCATTGCCTCCAAAATTTCGTCATCACCCTCACCATCACTATCACTATCACTATCACTGTCACCATCACCATCATCCACATCATCATTATCATTGGAGTAAACTTTCGGTGCCCCTTTATTTGAGTTAAAGTTAAATCGTATAACTGTTATCATAACCTTAGGATGCCCGACCATCCTCCCTGCGTATGCTAAAGCCTCACGGTCATCTTCCCCTCCGATGAAGAGAATGGCAAAGTGGTGGCCGGAGTTTGACGTACCGAGACCATGATCCACAAAAACACCCACAGAGCAGCGCGCATTTGCAATCAAGTTGTTGTTGAGGCACTTTAAATGCGAGTAGTTTGAATCTTGTATCGCTGCTCCTCCATCCGATATGGCAGATTGTTTGTGGAAGGGGATGATTATGAGGGAAACACGATTCTCCTCAGCCAGGTTGCAAATGTCCTCATGCATCGTGGCATAAGGGGACACGGCGGTGATTGTTTGCACCGTGACGATTCCTTCTCTTTGTTGGGCATAGAGTTGAAAGCCATTTGCGGAGTCGTAGTCCGTTGAGTGCGTATCATTGGTTGTGGTGTTTGTGCTACTCGGTTTGTAAGTGTTGTGCACAACCAACATGGCTGAAGCATGGCCAGTTAGCTCCACGAGGTGTGTGACAATGACATGAATAGGGGATTTTTCGGTTGGGTTAGAACTATCAATGAGGTCGATAATGCCAGACATTTTCCGTGAGGTGTGGGTGCATGCAAGGATTCGAAGCTCGGTATTAGGTCCAACGCTTCGTACGTTCCTCTGTTTGTATTGCACCAAAGGCCTAGCACTTGACTTGTAAAAAAGGGCAAGAAACGGCCCCACGAAAAATGTCATAATCCAAATCACCACCATCATTAGTGTGAATGATTGTTTGTTCAAGATCTACACAATTGTCATTCGTTCATTATAAACCATACAAACCTTGCAAAATATCATATGAATATGCATGCACCGTACGTACCTTCAAGTCTCGAGCAGAGTTAAGTATGATAAGTGCCAATAAGCCTTTGGTGTTCATCAGTACTCCAACAGTCAGACTATCCCGAGGTGACATTTTGTTCAATAAGCAGGCAACGAAAGTGCTCACGATTTTTGCAGCGTAGGCAACCAGGTTTATTAACACTACACGATATATGTTAGTCCCTGTTTTCGCCTCCTCTGGGTCTTTCGTATTCAGAATATCTTGGAAACTCAGTCTTCTGGAATTGATCAAGTAGAAGAAGGGCATCAGAATCCCACGCACGAAATTTCCCATGTTCTCTATAAGCATGCTTGAGAACTCTCCCTTAGGTATGATGATTCCCAACACGAAAGGCCCTACGATGGAGTGGGACCCGCATGCATCGGTAATTAACCCGCAAAGCACCACCCCGGCCATAACATAACATGCAAGCTCATTATCGTTGCCGTTCTCCTGTGCTCCCCTCCTGCGATTAATGATCCGCACGAGAGCTGGCCGTACTACAAAAACACACAGTCCTACAAAAGCCAAGGTGGACCCCACCGTAAGCAATGGTCCACTTTTCACTACTGCCATTCCAAGCAAAAGAAGAATCCATGAACACAAATCGGAGATAACGGAGGCAGACAAGGCGAGTCCTCCAACATCAGAATAGAGAAGTTTGAGATCTGCAAGGATTTTGGCGAGGTCCAGGAAGTTGGTTGTGGCAAGAGTAATTCCCCAAAAGAATGAGCCGTTCTTAGTGCCCATGTTTTTTGTTTGTTTAGCAAAGTCTTTGAGGAGTATATAACGATACAAGACCCAACCAGTAAGGAAGGAAAAGACCATGCCAGTAAGGGCAATGCTGACAGCCTTCCTACGAGCACGTAGTATTGGTTTGAAGTCAAGCTCTAAACCCACCAGGAACATGTGGTAAACGAGTGCCAAGTTTGCTAAGGTCTCGGCAACCACCGTGTTACTTATGGGAAATAGTTGTGGGTACAAATCACCCCTCATGTTCCGACTCATTAAAAAGCCACCCTGAAAATTAATTCCAACTATTAATCCATAAGTTAACAACAAATATTCTTTTTATAGTAAATTTAGCTTAACTTCTTGAAAGTCATTTTTCCTCAACTATAACCCATCTCTTTATTTTTGTTTGAATAAAATCCTGCTTTTTACTAAATAAAATCGGATGACTAGGATCCAACTCTGCAAGTTACCTAATCGAGCGCAAAATAGAAATTATTATACATTTTCGGTTCCTAAAATACCCCCAACTAAGCCTTATTGAATTTTGTATATTATAATGTAGGAACTAATATAGAAATAATTTTAATTGGAGTGTAAATAATTACACATTTGAATTTGGAAAGATCTCCATATGGATGTAGGAATTAATTTGGAAGCTTTTTTAAAATTTAACAATAAATTCATATTTAACATACCTAATCGGTTTATATAACAAAAAATATATATTTTATTTATTTATTTAAGTACGTGATTAATTATCTGTTATATTATTGTTTTATAAATATAATAGTCTACATACAATTTTACGTTGAAAAAATAACGCACCTATTACTTCTATTACGAAACGTAATTTTTTACTGTACCATCTCGTTTAGAAGTACACGGGCCTTCTACCTAACATATCTATTTTTTATCAAAAGAAAAGCCATTGTTAATACTAAGGATATGGATGCATCATGCAGTACTCACAAGAATGTCGGCAACAATACGCGGTTGGTAGAAGGGTTTGAGTAGGAGCATAGCAAGACGAGTGCTGACCATGGCCATGACGAGTTTTATAACAGTGACTGGGAGAGCTTGCATCAACGGATTCTCCACACGCCATAGCCCAGTTGGGGATATTGTCTTGTTATAACATGCCCTTAGTTCATCTTTTGAGTCGGCAAATACTGTATAAGATTCCCCTGCGTATGACCTTGTACCAGTTACACTACCCATTATGTTTAATGTATAGCAGCGCCGTCGTTCTCCTCTTCCTCTTCCTGACTTCCGAATTACATTCGCATCCGGAAGCCTTATACAAAGAAACTAAGAGCGAGAGCGATAGCAAGAGAGAGAGAGACAATGAAATTTTTATGCATGTAATTCGTATATACATATATATACGCCAGGCATACATAATTTGTTGCAACAGTTAGGAACTGAGGCATCCCATTTCTGTACGTATCTGTATTAGGTTATTTTTGGCATGTAAGAAAGAAAGACAGTAGCAAACTTGTCGTTACACTGTACAGTTTTTCAGTTAGTTATACGACCAAGGCAGGTGTTCGTTTTAATGAAACCAACATTGCATAACCACTTAATCAAACCATATATAGTTTTTATATTTAAATCATTTTTTTTAAAATTAAAAAAAAAGTGGTTACACCCTCAGATATGACTACGGGTCCCTAGATGGCTGTTGGAGGAATGGCAACTCTGATTACCAACCACAAAAAATTTAAGAAAAAAGTGTAAACGACTACGGTTGAATAAGTTAACGGCTTGAATTTCAATGTCCTCATGGATATGTGATTTGAATTTGAATTCCTTTCACTCATGCCAGTTTGGAATTGCTTTCTTTTTTTTTAAAAAAAAGTTGCTTTTGTGTGCTTTGAAAATAATTAGCTGTAAAGTAAAGCAGTTCCATGTTTGATAAACAATATTTTTAAAATGTTGTTAGTATAAAAAGCAGTGTCAAAACCATTTGGTAAATTTTAATATAAAAATGTTGTAACTGTGAATAATAACTAAAATAGACATAATATTGAAAGTGTTATGCGCTAATTATGTGATGGTAGTGGTGGTGTAGGTGGTGGTAAAAGAGATGAAGGTGAAGGTGGTGGTGGTGATGAAGGTGGAGATGGTGGTTGTGATAGTGGTGGTGGTGGGATGGCGGTTGTAGAGGTGGAGGTGGTGAAGATTGGGAGGGGGTGGCGGTGGCAGTGTGGTGTTGGTGTTGGTGGTGGAGGAGGAGGATGTGGTGGTGGCGGTGGTGGTGATGGTGATGGTGGTGGTGGAGGTGATGAAGGTGGTGGTGTCATTATTAAAAATTAATGGTGGTATTTTGGGAATTAAAAATTCATTAAAAGCTCATTTATGCTTCTTTTGAAAGTAGCTTTAAAAAGTTACTCAGAGCTTGCTTTTAAAAGTTGTTGTCAAAAGACCACTTCTTTTAAAATAATCGAGATATTTTATTTTTACCAAACACCTTAAACGGCTTAACTTTAAAATAAAGTAAGTTTTTTACCGAAAAAAACAATCTCAAACGGGACCTCAATCAAAAACTGTTTACTATGAGTGGTTCGACGTATTTGAATTACCATGATAATAGTTGATATGTCTAGGAACTATTTGTATATATAAGGTCCTACAAATATACATGAGAAAAAACACAACTTCAATGTGAATTTTGGCCAAACATATTTGCTTGTGTTTTGAAATCTTTTATGGTATCAAAAGCCCTCTAGTCTGGCGACTTCTTTTTACCTTTGCAAATTTGTTTTCCTAATCTGTTCAATGCCCAACACCAACAACAAATTCCCACCAAATTTTTACAACTTCATGTAAAAATTACTCTCATCTTTACAATTTCATGTAATCGAATCATATTTTAAATTACATCGTAAAACTTGACTTACAACTAAATATCTAATATTGAAGAAGAATTTACATGTAACGGAAATGCTACCGTGATGGTATCCCAAATTTATCAAGCATTGTCGACCCTAAATCAAGACTCGGGAATTGGATTGTCCACTGGTTTGATACATATATATATATATATATATGTATATGTGTGTGTTTATAATAAGGAGATTTGTGTTTTAATAATGTAAAAACTTTGATTAATTAAAGTAATGCAACGTAATTGAGACGGGGGTGCAAGTGTAACATATATTATTTGTGGCCCCAATGTATTTGGGACAATGTGCGCATTATCTATTTGATAGATCTCTTTTAAAAAAAATAAAAAATAGAAACTAATATATTTTTTGACTTTGATACTTAAAATATTACAATCCAAACTCTACAAGATCAACATTCAAAAAATTTAGGTAAAATAGGTAATAAATTTTAGTAGAATTGAATTTTAAAGTTACGTTTAGTGGGTGGGACTGCATTGGACTATTTTAATGAAATGAACTGACCATATTGTGTCTTACAACTCCAATCTAGAGGAGTAAAACTGATAACAATTGGCTAGGATTCAAATCCAACCCAATCCAAGCTAGGTCACCAGATAAGGTAACGTCGTGCATAACAAATTTTGATATATATATATATATATATATATATATGGTCCTATTATATTAGGATTCTTTGAATAATATTATATATACAAATTTATAAATAAACCCAATTCTAGACATGTATTTATAAAAAAACTCAAGCATTATTTAAACATAGAAACACACCCAAAATTAACCACAAAGTCAACTTTTTGGGTGTGTTTATAAATGGGTTTTGAGTGTGTGTAATGATGGGTTTTGGGTGTGTTTATATGTTTAAATAGTGCTTGGGTTTTTTTATAATTTCAACTCCCATTTTGGGTGTTTTAGTGAAACTCCCTATTATATAAGGGACACATTTTATTTCAATAATATGAATATTTTATTTTTCAAGTCTTCATTCATTGATCATGCTTGCAAAAAATTAAACAACTTGAATGTCATTAAGATATCTACAGGGATGAATCCAGGATTTGAAAACTGCTTGGGTTAAATTTACTTTACAGACGTAAGAAATTTCAATAGTGAGAGAAAAAAGATAGACGCCAAAAAAAAAAAGAGAAATGAAGGATAAAAGAAGAAGAGAAAAGCCGAAAAAAAAAAGAAATAGGAAGAAAAAGAGAGAAAGGAGGAAAAGAAGAGAGAGAAAGAGAAATGAGGAAAGAAGAAAAAGAGAGAGAACATAGGTATTGCAAATTAAAATATAAAAAAACAAATGCATGGGTTAGAGAGAGACTACATACTGACAATTAAAAAAGAAGAATCGGCATGGCAGCCCAATAGCTGGATTCTTCCCTGAACGATGCGTCAAAAACACTAAAATAAGTCTTTAGCTTTGGCTCTTTTCTCTCTTTTATTTATATATTTGTGTTCCTTCCACTCAGAGACTTGTGAAGAAGAAGAAGAAGAACAGAGATAAACCAGAAAAGAAAATGGAGGCTGCTTCCGTTACCGCATCATCGCTCATAAGAGTTGCAGCTCTTTCTGGGTCTCTTCGTAAATCTTCCTATAACCGTGGTCTAATTCGTTCTGGTCAGTTACTTTACTGCAATGTTTTTTATTTTGTTTTTTATTTTTTTGTTCTTCCAATTGAACGGCGTCATTTTGGGTTTTGTAGCGATTGAGATAAGCAATACGTCGATCAACGGCCTGCAGATAGAGTACATAGACATCTCACCGTTGCCACTGCTGAACACGGATCTGGAAGGCGAGGGGAGTTTTCCACCTGCCGTCGAAGCGTTTCGTCAGAAGATTCTGGAAGCTGATAGCATCCTCTTTGCTTCTCCTGAGTACAATTACTCCATCTCCGGTATAATTATTTATTTACTTATTATTATTCTCTTCTTTTTATTTATTTATAATGATTTTGAATTTGATGATCAAAGTCACAAAAGCATTTCTTTCTGTTTTTTGCATTTTAATGGAAATTAGATAATTATTTAATCAATGTTGTAAAAATGATGGATATTGCCACTTTCGTTTACTTTTCAGTAGATGACAGACCCACACACTACTCGTGTGTTTTTTATTTTGTTTTGATGGCGACTACTTGTGCGTGATGATAATACATGATATGACTAATGGGAGGAATAGTTAAAGAGTTTTGATCTCCAGCATTCATTAGATATGTTAGTGAATTCAAATTTTGGTGAAGTGGGAGGAATTTGGCTCGAATGGACAAAATAGTCCTCTATGTTACGGAATTGGAAATTTGACAAGAGTTTGTAACGTATCCTTAAATTGATCTGAATAAAAAATTACATGCATAAGATTGACAAAACAAAACTATGATAAAACCAGCAAACTAAAGGAACCAAAAATTTAACCTTTATATATCATACATGCAAATAATAGTTGAGATATGAAGTCTTTAACCAATTGTTGACATAAAATCTTTAATGGGCCAAACTCATTTTCTTATATATAGTATTGACATGATAATAATTAGTTCCTTAACGTGTCAATTGGTTTTTTTTTTTAATCGTAGTTCTTTAATTAAATTGGTTTTTTTTTTTAATTTTTAAAGAAAGAGAAAATGGGTCTAAGTGTGTCTCATGAAATTAGGACTCATGTTCTTATTTTGTTTTTTATTTTTAATATGTAAATTATTAATTTACTCTATTATCCTTATTTAGTTTTTAGTATGTAAATTATTAATTTACTCTATTATCCTTATTTAATGAATTTTTCATTTCTTAATATATATATATATATAAAGCAAAAGGCAGAGAATGGTGAAACATTCAAAATACCAGAAAATACTCTTGGTTAATTCAAACATTAAGAATTGAAATTATTAATTAAATGAGGATAATATGATAAATTCACATTTTTTTCATATTAAAAAAATTAAAATAAAAAACAAAATCAGATAATAGGTTATACTTTTATGGAACATAACTACCTGTGTTATCTTTTCTTATTTCTAAAAATAAAATATTAAATATACGCATGTGCTAATGGACTAGTATTTTTATTAACTAAGCCCATTTTGTCGTATTTGAATGTTTGATTATTCTCTGCTTTTATATATAGTTGTAGTAATAATATCAATATTAATAAACGCATACCACCACTACTTGATGAGTCATGCTACTTCACTAAAATATGTTAATAAATACAATATACTTGTTAGCATGTTATCAAAAAGAAAAAAATTCATTAAAAAAAAACAGAGATTCTTTTGTGATCCACAAAAAAACATAAATGCTTTCGTGATCCACTAAACAGAAGTGCTTTTGGGACTTTTGTGACGCATTTCATTACCTTACATACATATTGATTGAATTTGTTTTTAATAAAAGAATTAGTTAAGCAAGGCTAATTGCTAATGCATGAACTTGGCCAGAATTTAATTATGATGAATGGACCACTCCAATAGAAAAACATTGCTAATTTCCATTGCACTAATCAAGTTTCATAATTTGAAATTCAAATTCACTGTATATGGAGTTTGATCACTATCTTAATTTGTTTTATTGGCAAGTTTCGGCATCAACTGCCTCAATGTTTTCTAACCTCCACAATATATACCAGCACCTCTAAAGAATGCAATTGACTGGGCGTCAAGACCACCAAATGTTTGGGCTGATAAGGCTGCTGCAATTGTAAGTGCCGGAGGAGGCTTTGGCGGTGGGCGATCGCAATATCATCTTCGCCAAGTTGGAGTTTTTCTTGACCTTCATTTCATTAACAAGCCCGAGTTTTTCTTGAACGCATTCCAGCCTCCTGCCAAGTTTGACAGTGATGGCAACTTGATTGATGAACAGGCCAAGGAGAGGATAAAAGAAGTTCTTCTCTCTTTGAAGGCATTGAGCTTGAAGCTTCATCGAAAGCAATGAGAGGAGTTGTTTCGTGTTTCGAACTGCCTGACTTCTAAGTCTCAATGGAGGTTGCAGGTTTGAAACAAGAAACAGTCTCTTCGCAGGGCTCTGTGTACATCTGCCTATCCTTAGACCTCGCAATGGCCGTAGCCTCGCACCGGCTGCCCTTTTATTTTATGGTGTTGAAATTGTATGTGATTCTCAGACATACAGGTGCTGTGTGATTCAGGCTCTGCCATGTTAGCATTGCAGGAGTTCGACGCTTTGTAGTTTATGCTATGATTTATTTCTTTCTGCCTCTGGAATTGGAATTTAGACCTTTGATTTGTGTTTATGTTTCTCTGGGCATAACGTGTGCTAATAAAATGTATCCATCGCAGCAAAGTATGCGCTATCCAGGATTGGCATACACTTCCAATGTTATCAAATTGTTTTGCTAATGAAATGCAATTGTAAAATTATGTTTTCATAATACTTCGGGTTTAGGTCTAGTCGGTGCGGCACTATGGATTTAGCCTATATGGCTCTCTTCGGATTGCTCGGAAGGATGTGGAGTGGTTGACGTGCTTTTTATTTTGTTTAAGTCTAGTAATTCTCAGGAGTTTTTTGTGGTTTGTCTTATCTTTAGGTTGTTTCATTTCTATTTAGCTTTGGCTTTGGATATAGATTTGTCATTTTTACCGTTGCGCGACAAATCTGTATTGTAGGTTTGAGTATATGTGCTTCTAGTTCCTGAATCGGGAATTTTAGTTCTTTGGGTTGTGCATGATTCTCTCCAAATCAATTCAATATGTGCTGCGTTTTGGTCACTGGAGAAGATTTACCCATATTTGGCACATTAGTGCTTTGTACTTTTGTTTCTTTATCTATAAAAAGCTATCGCTTATTTAATTTTTTTTTACTTTTAGGAAAATGTTATTCTCACCCAACAATTTTCTTTGCAGCGATTGAGACAAGCAATTAAAGAAGAACAATCGGCATGGGCTATATAGCCCATATAGCCCAATAGGTAAATTCGTCTACATATACAAAGCTTCTTTAATAACACAATAATGACAACCCTTAATTTAGTGGTGGACTAAATTTGAATTTATTTTGCATAGATAATCTTTAAATCAATAATAAAATACATTCACGTTGAAAAAGTAATAAGTAGTTTTGGCTCTTTTCTTCCACTTAGAGACTAGTGAAGAAGAAGAAGAAGAATAGAGATAAACCAGAAAAGGAAATGGAGGCAGCTTCCGTTTCCGCATCATCGCTCATAAGAGTTGCAGGTCTTTCTGGGTCTCTTCGTAAATCTTCCTACAACCGTGGTCTAATTCGTTCTGGTCAGTTACTTTACCGCCATTTTTTTCTTTTTTTCTTTTTCTTCCAATTGAACGGCGTCGTTTTTGGGTTTGTAGCGATTGAGATAAGCAAGACGTCGATCAACGGCCTGCAGATAGAGTACATAGACATCTCACCGTTGCCACTGCTGAATACAGATCTGGAAGGCGAGGGGAGTTTTCCACCTGCCATCGAAGCGTTTCGTCAGAAGATTCTGGAAGCTGATAGCATCCTCTTTGCCTCTCCCGAGTACAATTACTCCTTCACGGGTACAATTTTTATTTATTTATTTATTTTTTATTATTCTCTTATTTTTTATTTATTTATAATTAATTTGCAATTGGACAATGCATGCCCTTACTGCCTAACCTTTGATGATCAAAGTCACAAAAGCGTTTGGAAATTAGATAATTATTTAATTAATGTTGTAATAATGATGGATATTGCCACATTCGTTTACTTTTCAGTAGCTGACACACCCACACACTACTCGTGTGCTTTTTATTTTGTTTTGATGGCGACTACTTGTGTGTGTTGATACCAGGGTCAGTATGAGATTTTGAGGATCCTGTGCGAAACTTAAACTAGAGCTTTCACATAATCTAATATAAAAAAACAAATTTTTTTTTGGTCATAACTTTTTATAACTAAAATTCATCAATTAGCATATAATAACAATCACAAATCAAATTCATAAATTTTTTAATGTTTTCATTTGATAAAGTTGAATATTAGTATGTTCAGTAAAAAAATAAGAGTTCAAGAGAGAGAAGAATATAAATTTATAAATAAACCCAATCCTAGACATGTATTTATAAAAAAACCCAAACACTATTTAAACATAGAAACACAGCCAAAATCAACAATTGTATATTTTTTGGGTGTGTTTATAAATGAGTTTTAAGTGTGTGTAATGATGGGTTTTGGGTGTGTTTATAAAGTGTTTTGGGTGTTGGGTTTTTTTTATAATTTCAGCCCCCATTTTGGGTGTTTTAGTGAAACTCCCAAAGAAGAATGGCATGAATTTCTGTTTTGGTTTTGTTTTGAGTGGTAGAAAGTACTTTTTTGTTTTTTGTTTTTAGGAGAAAGCGTATGGGTGTGATATATAATGTTGTTAATTTAATTGGATCTTTCCCCGTGTGTTTTTTTTTCACATGCTTATTAAAAAAAAAAAAAAAAAAAAAAAAAAAAAAAAACTATTATGGCTATTATTCATTCAATTAGCATAGAACAACAATCACAAATCAAATTCATAATTTTTTTAATGTTTTCATTTGATAAAGTTAAATATTAGTATGTTCGGTAAAAAAAATAAGAGTTCAAGAGAAAGAAGAATGACATGAATTTCTTCTTTTGGTTTTGTTTTGAGTGGAAGAAAGTACTTTTTTTTCTTTTTTGGTAGGAGAAAGCGAATGGGTGTGATATATAATGTTATAATGTTGTTAGTTTAGTTGGATCTTTCTTTCCCCTTTTCACGTGCTTTTGTTTAAAAAAAAACCTATTTTAAATTTGTTTGTTATAATGAAAAAAGAAGAAAAATTCAAATAGGTTTAGTTGGATCTTTCCCCTTGTTTTATTTATTTATTTTTTCACGTGCTTATGTTTTTTTAATGAAAAAAGAAGAAAAATTCAAATAGAATGACCTCACTAAGACTTCAACCTAGGCCTTCTACCAAGGGATGTGCGCTAGAAATCAGCTCCACAAAATACACTCTTGTGTCAAACTGTAGCACGCTGGAGTATATATAGAGTGTTTATAATATTAATATATATAATATAAAGTAAAAAAAATTCTTGGGCCTTGTGCGGTCGCACCACTTGCATCGTGCCAAGACCGCCCTTGGTTGATACATGATATGACTAATGGGAGAAATAGTTAAAAAGTTTTAATCTCAAGCATTCATTAGATATGTTAACTGAATTCGAATTTTGGTGAAGTGGGATGAATTTGGCTCGAATGGACAAAAATACCTCTCCATGTTATGGTCAACTGTAACAGAATTGGAAATTTGACCGGGCTTGTACGTGTCCTTAAATTGATATGAATATAAAATTACAGGCATAAGATTGACAAAACGAAACTACGGTGACCAAAGTGAAAAAACCAGCAAACCAGAGGAACCAAAAATTACTTTATGTCCTTTATATATATCATACATGCAAACAATAGTTGAGATATGAAGTCTTTAACCAATTCTTAACATAAAATCTTTAATGGGGCCAAATTCATTTTCTTATATATAGTATGGACATGATAATAATTAGTTCCTTAATGTGCCAATTGGTTTTTTTAAAATCTTAGTTCTTTAATTCCAATTGGTTTCTTTTTTGTTTGTTTGTTTGTTTATAAGAAAGAGAAAATGGGTCTAGGTGTGTCTCATGAAATTAGGACTCATGTTCTTATTTTGTTTTTATTATTTTTAATATGGAAATTGTTAATTTACTATATTATCCTTATTTAATAAATATTTCATTTCTTAATATTTTTATTATCAAGTGCATTTTATCGTATTTGAATGTTTGACCATTCTTTGTATCTAAAGTAGGTGGTAACCACCTTTGGGACCAAGTGTGGCCTGAGTGGATTTTAGATATTTTAGCTAGTGATGTAAACCTTTCTATTCGTCTTTAATAAAACTCTCTTCATAAAAAAAAAAAAAAAAAAAAAAAAAAAAAAAAAAAAAAAAATTCTTTGCCTTTATATATATATATAAAATAAAATATCAATATTAATAAACGCATACCACAACTACTTGATGGGTCATGCTGTTTTGTTAAAATATGTTAATAAATACAACATACTTGTTAGCATGTTATCAAAAAGAAAAAACTTTCATTAAAAAAAACAGAGATGCTTTTGTGATCCACTAAAAAACATAAATGCTTTTGTTATCCGCTAAACAGAAGTGCTTTTGTAATCCACTGAACAGAAATGCTTTTGTGACTTTTATGTTATTGAAATTCAAATTCGCAGTATATGGAGTTTGATCACTATCTTAATTTGGTTTATTGGCAAGTTTCTGCATCAACTGCCTAAACATTTTTTAACCTCCACTGTATATACCAGCACCTCTAAAAAATGCAATTGACTGGGCGTCAAGACCACCAAATGTTTGGGCTGATAAGGCTGCCGCAATTGTAAGTGCCGGAGGCGACTTTGGCGGTGGGCGATCGCAATATCATCTTCGCCAAGTTGGAGTTTATCTTGACCTTCATTTCATTAACAAGCCCGAGTTTTTCTTGAACGCATTCCAGCCTCCTGCCAAGTTTGACAGTGATGGCAACTTGATTGATGAACAGGCCAAGGAGAGGTTAAAAGAAGTTCTTCTCTCCTTGCAGGCATTTAGCTTGAAACTTCATCGAAAGCACTGAGAGGAGCTGTTTCGTGTTTCGAACCACCTGACTTCTAAGTCTCAATGTAGGATGCAGGTTTGAAACAAGAAGCAGTCTCTTCACAGGGCTGTGTGTACATCTGCCTATCCTTAGACCTCGCAATGGCAGCAGCCTCGCACTGGCTGCCCTTTAATTTCATGGTGCTGAAGTTGTATGTGATTCTCTCAGACTTATAGGTGCTGTATGATTCTGGCTCTACCATGTTAGCATTGCAGGAGTTTGATGCTTTATAGTTTATGCTATGATTTATTTCTTTCTGCCACTGGAATTGGAATTTAGACCTTTGATTTGGCATAACATGTGCTAATAAAATGTATCCATCGCCCAGCAAAGTGTGCTATCCAGGATTGGCATACTCTTGCAAAGTTATGAAATTGTTTTGCTAATGAAATGCAGTTCTAAAATTATGTTTTTATACATAACTAATTATTATTTTAGGAAAATGTTATTCGCAGCCAACAATTTCCTTGCTTGAAACCTCTTTGGTAAGACCGAGAGAACTTTCTATACAACGGCAATTTTTGCAATAGGTTTACCCAAACTCATGGCATCATTTGTTAAACATTCTAGTCTCTCGTAAAAGTCAGAGGTAATGCAGACATCATTGATTAGTTTTAAAATGTATTTGTTATTTTCCTTGGTTCTCTAATAGGGGTGGGCACCGAGACCAAAAAATCGGAACACGAAGCCATATCATACCCAAAAAAACGACTGTGTTCACTAAAAAGTCAATAAGTCAATAAGCCATATCTTTGAGTAGCTAACTTTGAAGCATGTATTGGAATTAAATTGTTGTAGAACATAGGTCAATTGCCATATTAAATGTGTTCTTGTTTGCAACGAATAATTGGGTTAAGAACTAGTTATGAGAAATCGATTCTTGAATTCCTAATAACAAATGCCATGTTTTAGGGTTTTTGTGACACTCATATTCTCTTTGATCTTAATGGATTCTTGATTGTTAATTTGAGTAAATGCCATACTAGATTCCAATTAAGAATACACGTATTGATGTAAATGCCATACACCTTACATGCACTTAAGAGAGAATCATACAACTCGAGTCAAATGCCATGATCTTGTTGTGAGTGTCGTCATCATATGCTTGCTAGAAATTGATTATCTATTATTGTTTATGGATTGATTGATTGGTTAGAGGTGGATAGTGAGTCCTAGCTATTGTTCTTGATTGATTATAAACCAATTTCTCTTAAACTCTAATTTAAATTCTGTTTTGTTTTGTTTTCCTTATTTTTATTTATTCACAAAATCAAATCAAAACCCCCGTTGGTGTTGGCGTGTGTGTGGAAGTCCTTGTGTTTTCGTTGCGTGACATTGATAAACATCTCTCTAGATTACAATCTCTGTGGGAATGACCCTTTCTTGCTTACTATACTATCATTTGATTTGTGCACTTGCAAGGTTTAAATATTGTTGTTAAAAATTACCAACAAGTCTTGAGGCTCCCAAGCAACCCGAGACTTTTCATTTCTCGGCTCATCAATAGGCCTCATGTTGATTTATTACCATTCATGCCACAACCCACTCAAGCAAGCCCCGGGCATTCGAGTGGCTTGGGCCCAGTTAGGCTTGTAGCGTGGTTGGGTGTGTAATAATGATTTCCTACTTGGCATGGCATGTCGCTTGGCATGGCATATCGCTTGGCATGCTTTCAATTATTATGCTTGACGGGATAATTAGCATGGATTTGCAAAGATAATGCATTTTATAATCTTAATCTCGATTCCTAACATGACGAATAATTTATTTGGCATGGCGCGTGTGGTGTGACTCGTATATGACTAGCCCTCGTGTACTCAGATATGTGATTTTTCTTAATACAGTAGCATACTGGACCGAAAACTTATTTGAGCCCAACCGTGGACTTTTTTGGGCCTCAACAATAGTGAAAGCACGTCAAAGACGCTGTCCTAAAGCCTTAGTAACCTCCCTACGTGCAGGTAATGACGGTCTACAGGACTCCAAGATGCGATCCCAATACGCAGGCTTAAGGTCCGATATGAGCACGTTCACAGTCGGATAGAAATCTCCAAGTCACAGAACCGTTGCCCAAAAATAATATGGAAAGTAGGGAATATATGAAAGTACGAGAATAGAGAAATTTGATTGTGGTGTGTTCAAAAATGAAGGAGGAGTGGACTTTTATAGGCGTCCAACACTCATAACATCCAGACACATTAAACTAGAAAATTAAGGCAATTAATAGAAAATAAAAACTGAAAATTAAACAATTTGTAATTCATAGAATAAATAAAAGAAAACAGCCAAAATATTAAAACAGAAAATAAAACGTTAAAATTTTAAAAGCCTTTCAAATAATAACATTAATAGCTAGTGCTCTGACACCAATTGATTGATAACATTATGACTAAGGTTTTTAAGTGCACATTCCATATAGATCCATGAATATCTCAAACTAATCTTTCCAGACAGTATAGTTATGGTTTACTTCGTGCCATCAAATAAAGGACAAGTGTTATAAAATTGGTGGAGTGGAAAGGGATGTCAAGAATTTGATCCAAGCTATTTTTGTTTGACTGAGGAAAAGCCAGTGTGGGGTTGCTTGACAGAGCGGAGTGTTGTTATACAAGTTGAATGTTTATTCTTTAGTTATGGTTCTAGAGAAGCCAATTTAGTTGCTCGTAGATTATCTCGTTATGCTTTAAGTGTTGCATCTTTATGGTATGAGACTCCTCCTAATATCATTCGAGATGCTTTAGTTGTACATTAACAAAATAAAAAAAGAATAAAATATAATTTAAAAACAGGAACTCGTTTAGCTGTTCACAAACATGAACTCATTCACTCACAAACAAAAAAACCCATTTGAAAACTATATCTTTCACATGCATCCATTCATTATTTCTGAACCAGTAGGTAAGATCCATTACTTCTGAAACCTTCCATTTAAAATGATTCTATAAATCTAATAATGGTTCTTATCACAACGTTCATAAATGCACAAAATAATTCATCATCTGCACATCGAAACTCCTTATAATATCTCTTCTTCTTGCGAAGAACCCAAGAAATCAGAAATGGAGGAGGAGGATTCTTCCGTCGCAGCAAAATCGGTCGTAAAAGTCGAAGTAGGTCTGGGGCCATTGTGCCGTTGTTTTTGTTTGTTCGGGCCTCGGGCTGCCCCGATTATGACCAAAAGTAAAAATAAAAATAAAAATTCAGTCATAAAAGTTGCGGCAGTTTGTGGGTCGCTTCGTGAAGCTTCATACAACCGCTGCCTCATTCGTTCTGGTTAGTAAATTAGCTTACAAGTTTTTTTTTTCCTTTTAATAAATATTTTTTTATGGATGATATGAAACGGTGGCGTTTTGGGGGTGGTAGCAATTGAGATCAGCAAGGCGTCGCTCGACGGCTTGGAGATAGAGTACGTGGACATCACAGCGCTGCCGTTTCTGAACGTGGATCTGGAGGGTAAGAATGGGAGTTTTCCACCTGCCGTGGAAGCATTTCGCCGGAAGATTTTAGAAGCTGATAGCATCCTCTTTGCTTCTCCCGAGTACAATTACTCCATCTCAGGTATTATTTTTCATTTTTATTTCACTAAAAAAATGGTTACTATCCTTTAACCCACCCCCCCCCCACTATATATTATGTTCCAGCACCTCTAAAGAATGCCATTGACTGGGCATCAAGACCACCAAATGCTTGGGCTGATAAGGCTGCCGCAGTCGTAAGTGCCTCAGGAGACTTTGGTGGCGGCCGATCCCAATATCATCTTCGTCAAGTAGGAGTGTCTCTCGACCTTCATTTCATCAACAAGCCCGAGTTTTTCTTGGATGGACTCAAGTCTCCTGAAAAGTTCGACAGTGGCAACTTGGTGGATGAACAGGACAAAGAGAGGCTGAAGGAAATTCTTTTGGCCTTGCAGGCATTCACTTTGAGGCTTCAAACGAAGTGATGAGAGGCGCTCCTTCGTGTTTCGAACCGCCAACTTCTAGGCCACAACAATGGAGGTTGCAGGTTTCAAGCAAGAAGCAGTCTCTTTTATTTATTTATTTTTGGTGAAAAGCAGTGTCCCTTATTTCATAGGTGCTGAAGTTGTTGTATTGCGAGAGTTTGAGGGTTTTTATTTTGGTCTGCACTATAAGATTTGCAAACCTTAGCAATGTTATCGATTGTTTTGCTAGTGGAGTGTAATAATAAAATTATGTTCTTAATAGAAATTATTTTGCTTTCCAAGTATGCATGCTTGGTGCCGTACTAATTTATATATTTCGGATTTTTGTGCCAAAAAATAAAATTATATATGATTGAATTTATATTTACCAATTTAGTCAATTTTTTCACCATCATCTAACTTTTCTCATTCAAACTCAAAGAGTGTCTCTATCTCTTTTTATCACAAAATTTAGTTACACAAAGAAAGAGATAGACCAATAGGATATCTGCCACCGTTGTAGCCCAACTTCTTATAAACTTAGGCTAGGTCCCTTAACATTTACAAACACTCTTAACACGTCTCTGTACGTGTAGTGAACTTTTAAGCCTAACACATGGACAACATATATTGGGTGACATGGGAGCATGTGTGGCCGTTGGGCCCAACACGTGAAGCCTTGTTCTGATACCACGAAGGAAGTTGAGGTTCCACCCCAAAACCAATTGGCAATGGGAGATGTAACCCAACTCCTTATAAGTCCTTGCTAGGTTTTTCAACTCTCCAATGTTAGACTCTTTACCTTCACATTCTCACATTTTTGTCATGTTCATCCACCAAGTTGCCCCCTAGCCAATTGGTTTTGGAGTGTAACCTCAACTTCTTTCACTTCACACACCCACTGCTGCCCCTCCGACGCACGGGGCGAGCGCGCATGCGCAAATATATCTCTTAGTATGAGTATGGGAATCAAAGTTAGAATTCAAGCCAAAATATATATTTTCAAGATAATCTAGGCGCAAATGTCATGGCTGTGGGTTTTTCATATCGTAACTATAGTTGTGTGGAAAATTCCAGTCAAAGCATTCAGCATCCTCCCCTTCAGCCACCACCAGTTGAAACTTTTCAAATTCAAAGCACCGAGCCTTTGTGGTTTACCGTTAAACCTCCTTCTTCCTCTCTGAAAAATCCTAGAAATTCAGCAGTCCTTCCATTGAAGAATTGAAGCTCTCATCGCACCATTCTACACAGCCACGATGGCAGATGACTTGGGTTGCCATGTCATATGTCACATGTGTTGATATCCAAAAATTGGTAAACAAGTTGGTGCTTGTAGCGTCATTGTAATATAATATTCCCGATTTTTTGTTTGGACGAATAATATACTTCTTCAGCCTTTTGAAGGAAGAGGTATAATAGGATGAGGAGGAATATCATCCTTAGCTTAATCACAAAAAAAAAAAAAAAAAAAAAAAAAAAAAAAAAAATAACCACCATATTAATTTGATTTGGCCATTGACATTCCTAATTGAGACAATTGGGTCAACACGTGCATATTGTGTGCTCCGTAAGCTACTGTGGATTGGTCTCTCCAAAAATGCTGTACACTTCGTGCCTGTATGTAGGAATGTGTCGATTGTTTTTGTAGAAAAACAAAAGGCTATATACAATGGTAAACCCTCCTCTGGAAACGACACACAAAGAAGCCTTGCAAATGAAAAGCTCTCGACGCGAAGGCATGTTGTCCTGAAAAAATACCACTAATTATTCGGCATTTTCAACTTAAATAGGTTGAGTGAGAGTGAACTATTGAAAGGCAATACTTTCTTTGTCTCTCATGAGTCATATCATATGATGACTCGATCATTTATGTCGAGGCAAGGAATGTGAGATATGTTGGCCCGATCTTGTCCCATCTTATTCTCATACCACTTCTCCATGCCATAACGGTTGGAGAGAAGTGAATTGGATACTGTCACACTCACTAATATATAGCTCTTGAAGAGAAGTGAGGTGTCCAAGTCCCTTTCCATCCAAAGATTTCAGACTTGAAAGTCCCCAGATGCGAAGAGTGTGAAGAGTGGAAGGGAGCAGCTGTTCCTTGAGCAATGTCTCCAAGATATCGTCACTTCCCCTGCCACCAATTGTAGTGTTTAAGGGAGACAACTTCCTTCTGGAAATGACACTAAATTTGGAAGTTCAGTCATCTCCAAATGTCGAAGTGCTGTGAGGGTGTGAATGCGGTGGGAAAAAGACACCAGTTATTCAAAACCTGGTGTTCAGGTTCAGCATCCGATTGTGAAATCCTGTTTCTTTTCACCGCTATTCAATGTGGATGTTAACCAAAGTGCTTTCCGTTTCCATACCTCAGCTCAGCAAGATACTTCTAAATGCAAAGAAAAAGAAATTAGAAGGTGTTGCAATCATCAGCAAATTTGAAAAGAAAACATTATTGCGAAAATTCTTCGAGAAGAAATCATGTCGAATACTTTCAAAATATGTACGCATGCATTTACTGGATTCTCAAATTTGAAAACACCTCTGAAAGTCAAAAGAGCACCAAATAAACAACAATAGAGGACAATAGAATACAACACTTTTTCATGTGACTTCTAATCTTTAGATTGAAGATGAGCTATACAGATTCAGTGTCATTCTTCTAAGATGCAGCCATTTAGGAGTTACTTGACGATGACTTTCTTACCTCTGTGCAGTCTGCAGAGCCTTCAATCCTACAAATTTTTGCAACTTAGCCACTTATAAGAAGCATTTCCAGCCTCCAGTAGAAAATTTCAAACAGAAATCTTTGCGAATCTTTATGTAAGTCTGCAATTTTCCATTGCACTTCAGATATATAGAAAAGTCTATTGAATCAGCAGACGGTTGAAGGCTGATTTTCTGTCTCAAAAGAAGATGAAGTGAGCCAAGCCATGTATGAACATGCTGGGTCTGTTCCTAGAAGTCCAAATTCGAATCAACAAATTAATGACAACAGGAATTTATTCTTTATGTTTAGGTTCTAAATGCACTATAGAATCATGCTGATAAATTAATCTATGTAGACAGTAGGAAATGTGTATAGAAAGAGGTGTTTACCATGAAATATACAGCTGACCTAATCCTTGTTCAGCTCCAGTCTCAACTTGAACTGCGGAAGAACATATTTAAGTAAGCAACCATCAGAAATGAAGCAAAGGACATGACAACAAATAACACAGACAAAACAATCTATCTCAATTGACTGTTCAAATACAATAAATAACCAGTGATATGACAATATTAACCAGTGGCATCCACAGACAAAAAATCTATCTCCATTTGAGTGTTCAATAGCACAAAGTAATGATTCAAATCCCATATATGACTAATGTAATGTGACGGACCTGTTGGTGACGACTCCACATTACAAGAACTGAGATGATATACCCATCAAATAATTAAAAGCGTAAGTTACTTGATGACTTACCTTTTTGCAGAGCATTTGATGACACCACATATTGCAACTTAGCCACTTATAAGAGGCACCTCCAGGTTCCAACAGAAAAAATGTTTACTCTTTGTGTAGATCACTTCAGTAATTTTACATTGCACTTTAGATTCTAGAAAAATCCATTGGCTCAGAACACAATTCAAGGCCCATTTTCTGTCTGAAATGCTGATGGCGTGATACATTTAATGTATGAACCTGCTTTGGTTTGATCCTACCAATCCAATTTGGAATAAGAAAATTGATGGTAATAGGAAAGCAACAAAAAAGTGAACCATATTAAATCTTGCTGAGAAACTAATCTGATATACCCTTACAGAAGTGAGCACAGAAAGGCCTGTGAAGCAGCTTCGACTCTGAAATCATGCATGGTTGCCTACACAAGTTGCTTTGACCTCCAAACATGGGAAAGTTTCTCAAGTCTGCAAGTATACATACAACATTTCAAGTGTCATCAAATAGAACTTTGCAGCTGAAGGAATGATTTGTGGGACGGTAAAAACAAAAAAGAAAATCATTTGCACACAAGATATTATAAATGCAATAAATATGCCAATTAGCACAAGACCTCAATCATGTTGGAAGTCAATACTCCCGGATATCAAGAATTAGGCAATAAAAATATGTTAACTGATTCTTAAATGATATTTTCCTTCTAGTTATGTAATATGCCTTCAACTTATAAAGTCCTATTTCTATATCGTTTTACATGTACAAAAATTCTTCTTCTTTTTTTTCAATTACGAAATCCAACTTTCATGAAAAATAAAGGAGTATAGCAACAGCCAGCAAGGTATACACCCTTAGCAGGTCAAAACAAAAACAATTACAGAACAACTCAAACACCAAATGAACAAAACAGAAACATCGCATAAAGAAGATCTAAACTACAGCAGCTTGCCTATTTGAATAGACGACGAAGAAAGAAAAATCCCTAGAGTCCAAGGATACAGAGTCCAATGAGGTGACGAAGAAATGAACCCTCTCCCACAAGTGATCCACATCCCCTCACCCTTCAAATCATCAAAGAACCTCCTATCCCTATCCAACCAAACAGCCCAGTTGTCATTCATCACAGATCCCCAAAACCAGCCCTCTTCTTTCCACCAAAAAATTTAAGCTTTACACAACAATGCATTACATGAAGCAGGGTTAACTCAGCTCAATCTTACCTCCATACTAGCTGCAACTATTTAGATAAGCTACTAGGTCAGCTGGACCAGGGAGATACACTTTTGAAATATGTAGTTTTTTATTCTGAGAGGCCGACTCCTTTTAGTAGAAAAAAAGAAGAGATTAATCAATTAATAATAGAGTCATAAAGCCCCTGCTGATATGCCAAGTACTATTAATCTAAAGGGTCATAAAAGTAACCAATATGCTTTGGATCGCATTTTCCATTCATGAATCTGTTCCTTATACCAGTGAATAAATTTCCTATGTCAATCTTTTCAGTTGAACAAAACCTTTTGGTAAGAAATTTGTTTTGTTACTAGTGAGTTTTATATTTAGAAAGTACCAACAAATAGAAAAAGTTATCTTACAAACGTCCAAAACATGACAAAAATAATGCATGTATTCTTCAAACATCCCATTGTTGGAAAAATAAAATAAAATAAAATTTGGCCTATCTTGATGTACATACCATATGATGACTGCAAGGAATGTGAGAGAGAGAAAGAGAGAGAGAGAGAGCTCATCTCATATGGTCACTTCATGGCCTATCTTGATGCAAGGAATGTGAGATATGTTGGCCCAATCTTTTCCTGTCTTCTCTTATACCTTTTCTCCCGGGAAAAACACTTGGAGATACTCAGAAAAGAAAGAGAAGTGATGTTTTTAAGTCCCTTTCTGTCCAAAGATTTCAGACTTGATAGTCTATTGATGTGGAGAATGTAAAGAGTGGAAGGGAGCAACTGTTGCTTGAGCAACATCTCCAAGATATCATCACTTCCCCTGCCACCAATTGTAAATTCTTCAAGAGAGACAAGTCCTTGCAAATCCCAGTGCTCTCCCACTGAAGCCCTCAGTCTGTTGCAATTTTCAATGGTAAAATATAGGAGGTCGGGAGGCAAACCCCCATCTTCTGCAAATGACTCCAGATTTGGAAGATCGCATATTGACAAATGTTGAAGGGCTGCGAGGGTGTGAATGCGTTTGGACAATGACTTCAAATTTTCAGACAGAGTGAAATGCCGAAAAGCAAAAATTTGGTGTGAGAGAGAACTCATATCATATGATGACTTCGTCATTTATCTGGACGAAAGGAAGGTGAGATATCTTGGCCCAATCTTCTCCCATCTTATTTTCATACCTTTACTCCAAGGCAAACAAATGGAGATATCTCAGAAAAGAAAGAGTCTTCTGGCAGGAATTGGAGACTCAGACAGCCATAAATATGTATCTGTTGAAGAGAAGTGAGGTGTCGAAGTCCATCTCCTTGCAGGCATTCCAAACTGCTACACTGGAGAATATGCAGCACTTGAAGAGAAGTGTGGTGTCCGAGTCCCTCTCCTTGCAGGAATTCCAAACTGTCACACTGGAGAATATTCAGCACTTGAAGAGAAGTGAGGTGTCCGAGTCCCTTTTCATCCAAAGAATTCAGACTTGAAAGTTCCCAGATGCTGTTCCTCAACGCCTCCAAGATATCGCCACTTTCCCTGCCACCAATTGTAAATTTTTGAAGGGAGACAAACCCCACTGAAGGCCTCAGTCTCTGGCAATTATGAATGTGAAGATATTGGAGGTTGGGAGGCAAACCTTTTCTGCAAATGACACAAGATTTGGAAGACCAAGTATCCGCAAACTTTGAAGGGCAGTGAGGATGTGAATACGTTGCGGTAATGACTTCAAATTCTTGTATCCCCCAACTCTAAAGTCATTAAAGTTATTAAAAACATTGTCAGTTGCTGCGAAATAATATGGGTGATGTGGGGGATAAGGATAAGGCATAACTTTGAAAAACCAAGACATAACAAAGAAAAGAACAAAGCTTAAACAAGGTTAATTCTCTAAGAAAATTTTGTAATTGCTGAATGATCTCTCTCCTCAACCAAAGACCACCGGTTGATACTAAGACAATATACATTAGTAAGGACACAGCGTTTATACATACATGCAGTACCAATGAATGTGCCCCTCGGGCACTGGAACAATATGAATGGTAAATATCATGCTCACATCTTCAAAAAGATGAAAACAATAATATACTGCCACTTTTATTATGAAAGAGTACCTAAAAGTGTGGGACATTTGATGCCTGTCTGTAGGAATGTTTCCAGGTGAACCTTTCCGTCTCCCCTCGTTGTGACAATAGTTTTTTGTAGAAAAACAAAAGTCTATAAACAATGGCCCGGAAATGACACGTTCAGAAACCTTGCAAATGAAAAGCTTTTCAAGAGAAGGTGCTGTCCTGCAAACCGAGTATTAATTATTCAGTATTTGATACTTACTATAGGATATAAGTTTCGAAAGAAATTGGGTAAATAGAAGGAGAGAATTTACTGTGCAAAATAATAATAGAAATCAGATTGAGTTTTTGTGTGTTTTTCTGGAAAATGATTTTGATAAGAAAGTAGCATGAGACCAGTAAGAAGCAGTGACAATGTAATTCACAAAAAGCTGAGAGTAAAATTAGAAATTGAGCTTGAAATGTTTCGATTATTTGGACAGTGAATTTCAGTTTTTGAAGTACATACCTTGTTTGTTTTATTCTCTTAAGATGACTTCATCATTTATCTGGATGCATGGAATGTGAGATATGCTCGCCCAATGATCTTGTCCCGTCTTATTCTGATACCTTTTCTCCAGGGCAGAACAATTGGAGATGCTCAGATAAGAAAGAGATGGCGGCAGACCCTCTTCTGGCAGGAATTGGAGACTCGGACAGTCATAAATATATAGCCCTTGAAGAGAAGTGAGGTGTTGAAGTGTCTCTCCTGGCAGGAATTGGAGATTGTCACACCTACTAATTTCTAGACTTCGAAGAAAAGTAAGGTGTGCAAGTCCCTTTCCATCCAAAGATTTCAGAGTTGAAAGTTCCTCGATCCAGAGAGTGCGAAGAGTGGTAGGGAGCAGCTGTTGCTTGAGCAACGTCTCCAAGATTTCATCACTTCCCATGCCACGAATTGCAAAACGTTCAAGGGAGACAAGTGCTTGCAAACCCCAGTTACAGTAGTCTCCCACTGATGAAGATGCAGCCCTCAGTCTCTCACAATTCTCAATGCTAAAATATCGGAGGTTGGGAGGCAAACCCCCATCTTCTGCAATTGACTCCAGATTTGGAAGATCGCTTATATTCAAATTTCCAAGGGCTGTGAGGGTGTGAATGCGTTCAGGTAATGACTTCAACTTCTCGCATCCAGAGAAATACAATTCAGTCAGGTTGGGAGTGGGCAATCCTCCCTGGGGAAAACACACCAGATTTGGACAATTAAAGACATGCATTCTATTTAGATGACTGAGAACCGCTCCTTCTTCAATCAAGCAAAGCGATTCCAGATTGTCACAACCATCAATTTTAAGTGTCCCCAATTTGGGAAAAATGCCCAAGGGGAAGGACCTCATTGAATCACAGCTATTATGTATGGACAAATAGTCGAGTGATGTTAATTTGGCCAACATCTCTTGAGGTAGGAATTCTAATATCCCACAATTGACTATTGTAAGTGATGTCAACGAAGTGGGTAGGCCATCTTCAGGGAACGACGACAGCGTTGGACAATTCCGGAGAGTCAATCTTTGAAGACGATTGATGTTGGGCAAGCACTGTATGTCATTAAAACGTCCAATCTGAAGGTAGGACAGGAGCTTTGTCTCTAGTAATGATAACAGACCTGTTTGGCATCCATCTTCTATTTTCAATTCTTCAAGAGAATTGTAGGTGAGACTAGTACTACTACTAGTAGTAGCAGTGGCCCTTTGATCATGCAAAACCCCACACCCATTCACGCTAAGCTTCTTCAAGCAAGGCAGATCACAAGGCAAGCTTCCTCTCAACTTCGGACACTTTACTAGAGTAAGCACCTGGAGACAAGGAAAGTCTGGACCTCCACTTCCACTTGGTACCCATTCCTCCCACTCTGCCATCTCGTAAAACTCCAGCTTCTCCAGTGATTGAAATGGCTGAATTAGATACGCTCCATTTCTGCCATAGAACTCAACACCAATTGTCTTAACAAATTCCATCCTTTTTATATAGAGCTCTTTGAGAGCAGGTAGCCCCCCAACTGGTGGCAGCGACCAACAATATTTACAATTGCTGAGACGCATGACTTGTATGTTTGAGAAGCATGAGTTTCCTAACCAATTAGGGAAGTTGGTTCCACCGTAAAATTCGATGGTCAGTTTCTCCAAACTAATTGAAGGCTGGAGCTTGTCAAGTACATCTCTCACTTTTTCGGAATCATTCGAGTCTTCATCGCCCCATGCCAACTCTAACTCCTTCAGATCCTTCTTATTCTTCAAATTGGCTTGCACGGCATCCTTAGCATCAACTACATTTTGCAGTTTTAGAATTGAAAGTTTTCCTCGAAGATGTGGAAGCTCCCCCAATTCCCCAATGGTCGACCCAGTAGATTTCCCCACAACAAAAGCAGTCAACGTTCTCAAACTTTTTAGTCTACTCATTTGTGCTGGCATCTCTGCAATTTTAGTTCCACTCACATCAAGATGATGCAAACTACTTAATTCCCACAGGTCTACAGGCAATTTAGCAAGAGACGCACAACCTCCCAGCATTAATTTCTGTAAATTTATCAATTTTCTCAAGTCTGCAGGTAATTCAACAAGAGAGTAACAATTTGACAATAGTAACGTTTGCAAATTGTACAAACTGCAAAGTACACCAGGTAACCTTTCAATTGCAGTATCAGAGAGATCCAAATAGCGCAAGTGAATAAGATTTTTAATAGAATCAGGTAGCTGAGTGACATTCATATAATGTGACAATGATAACACCCGTAAACATTTGTGTGACGATAATAAATCTTGTACAACCTTTTTACTTAGATAATGCCCTTGATAAGTATTAAAAGAGGTAGGTAGGAAGGTCCGTAAACACTTAGCCCCCTTAAATGGCTCAAATTTCGAAGCACCATCAAAATCTTCCCTAGCATATGATAAATGGCGAACTCTTTCTACTTCATGTGATTCCCCACCACCTTCCAACCTTGAACAAAATCCTTTAGACATGAACACAGCCAAGTCATTGATGAGATCATGCATAACGAAACTTGATTTCCCCGACGTTTGAAACAATGATCGAGATAACAGTTCATCAAAATATTCCTTAGCCACTTCTTCTATGTTGTCCCCATTCTCCGCTTGGGGAATTAAACCTTCTGCCATCCAAAGAAAACAACGTCTTCTACCTTGAATTCATAGTCTTTTGGAAAAATTGAACAATAAATAAAGCATCGCTTTAACTTAGCTGGAAGATAATGATAACTCAATCCTAGAGCAGGAAGAATGTCACTTTTCTCGGAAGGTAACTCCCAAATGTTGTTGTTTAGTACTCTGTTCCATACCTCAGAGTCTAGCCTGGAACGTAACAGACCGCCAAGTGTTTGTGCAGCTAAAGGCAACCCATTGCACTTTCTTGCAATTTTCTTTCCGATTTCTTCCAAGCTTGGATATGCACTACAACTTACATTTCCAAACGCATGTTTTGCAAGTAATGACCAACAGTCTTCATGCAACAATGGTTTCAAGGTGTGAATAGGAACATTTTGCATGAAAGATGCTATATTTTTGTTCCGTGTTGTTACGAGGACTTTACTTCCCCTTGCCCCTGAAGTAAAAGGAGTTTGGAGGTAGTTCCAATCAGTATATTTCTCATTCCAAAGGTCATCCAATACAAACAAAAATTTCTTCCCCCTCAGTTCTTCACTTAGCTCAACTTGAAGCAAATTCAGATCTGTCTTTTTACAAGGTTTTGAAGTCACTGACTCGAGAAGAGTTTTAGTTACCCTGATAGCATCATAATCTTCTGAAACACAAGCCCAAGCCTTAAGGGTAAAATGCTCTTTCACCTTATTGTCATTGTAAAGCATTCGAGCAAGGGTTGTCTTGCCAATCCCACCCATTCCAACAATGGGGATGACAGACACATTTTCCTCGCTTGCATCATCGAATAACACTTGTAATAAATTTTGTTTGTTTTTATCTCTCCCATATACGGAAGGTTCATGAACCAAGGAAGTTGTTGGAGTTCTTTGTGAAACCTTTCTCCCAACATCTTCTCTCAGACCAAGAGCACCTTTCAGTTGTACAAAATCTTCTAATCTTTGCAACAACTCTTGTATCTTAGCATTCATGCTTGGATAAAACTTATTACGAGAAGTAGAGAGGAGGTTCCGAACCTTGTTGGTTAATTTGTCCGCTGTTTGAGCTTCACCTTCTAGCTTGCATCGCAAAGCTTCATAGTTGATCTCATCCAGCAAGTCCTCAGCATCAAAACTGCATGTTTGAGGTCGTCAAGCCACTCTCTCACAGCTGGTTTCTCAATTTGCTTCTCCTCAGCATCATCAAGCACTGCGTTCAAGGTCAACAGGGTCCTCTTCAGTTTCATGATGAGAGGTTGATCGAGTTTCTTGTGCCGAAATAAGTCGATGAAGTCGGGTGAAGCAATTCTGTCACAAATCACCTGGATGGAAGCAGAAATAAAGGCCTCTCCGATCAAAGCTCCAGCCATTTTTCTCTTCTTTTCTTTGCAAGGGAATTGGATGAAGCAATTCTTTTCTCAGCTAACACAACTTGGAAATACAGGTAAGGCAGTATGAAAGCTTTTGTGATTGTAATGATACAAGTGCCGTTGGTTGGCTGTCTTGTCAGTGTTCGAGGGTTTTAGCGCAAGTGATGTCAATTAATTTTTAAAAATGTCTCTTTCTGCGGTGACAAGTTTTTTAAACTCTTCTTTGGCCTCACATGGGGGATGGGTCATTACCATTAATTAATTCAAATTGGGTAGGTGGGTTGGTGTACGCACATGGCCTAAGGAATAATACTCTGGTTTGGACTGTTGTTGATGACTGGAGGATGACAAGACAAGAACGACCATTCAACGGTCCTCAAGTGGACCAGACTCGAATGCCGTTGATCTCTTTGTGAATCTACGGCTCTTAAACAGATTTCAAAAGGTAAGGCTGCATGAAAGCTTTTTGTGACTATATATTTTCCGAGCAGTCATGTTTCATTTTCTTCATCAACAAAGTAAAAACAAAAATATAAAAATTCAGATAAGAAATTCATATGATAAAGAAATCGATTCATATTTGAAGTTCGAGAAACAAGATAAATAAAAATAAAAATTAGTGTATCATGTGCTGAAAGGTAAACATGTATGTCTTTCATTTCATTAGGAAGCTACATCAAAGGTAAAAGTTAGTTGGTGGAATTTGGTGAAATGTAAAATGGTTATGCTCATCGTGATGGAAAATATATCAATTTATACATGCCCTTTGATGGGCTAAAAAGAGGGGTTGCTATTGTTAAGTTTTTAATATGAGTCATATGAAGGACTTTACCATGATGTTGAACTTATTGACTAATTTTCCTTTTTTATTTATTATGTTTTAGTGGGAGAAGATAATTGATCAAAGTTACCCGTAAAAGGAAATTGATGGAAGTGTGTGGTGAAGGAGCAGAATTTCTGGGGGGTTATACATAGACCTTGGGAGTGAGTTTTATGGGTAACTTAGAAGAATTCTTTTCTATTTTGGTTAACTTGAGGACAAAAATTTATGCTCAACAGATGCTTGTGATGAATTCTTTTATATTTTGGAGCATATTTTGTCGTATGAGATCACATTTGATTTCATTTTTTAATTGAAATATTTTGAAACATGTTTTGAGAATTGTAAAAGTCTATTAATTGCAAATGAAACAACCTAAAAAAAAAGGATATAAACCTACAATACCATTACAAAATATCACCACTTACAGGGCCATTCTTGAGATTTTGAAGGCCCTGTGCGATCCTTAAATTGGGGCCTCACATAAGCTAACACAAACTTACACTATTACGTAATGCCATACAATAATTTTTTTTTTCTTAAAGTGACCAAAGTACCCCTACTCCCAAGGACAAAATTGAAATTTCACAAAAGAATTAAATTGGATTAAATTGATTAAATTGGGTCAGGGATGTTACACCTTTTGAATAATCACCATGATTGTGATGATGAGTCTTTGTCATCATAGATCATATTCAGATATTAAATATTTTTTAACACCTAACTTATTTTGTATCAATATCATCATTAATTCGATGCAATTATTTTGGTTGAGTTAGTTGGATGCATAAATATTCTAGGAACATCATTAATTCGATGCAATTATTTTGGTTGAGTTAGTTGGATGCATTATTTTGTTGGTGTTGAAATCGGACAAGCCTTTAACACAAGCAGGTTTTGAACTCGCACCCTGAATAAAAGTTGAGGCCCTGCAAACCAACACAACTAGGAACGTATTTGTGTCAACAATTTGCTCACTCAGTTATATATAACATTTGTTAAACATATATTATACACATAAAAAAAATCGGGGCCCCTCAAAAATCAGGGGCCCTGTGCGGTGGCACCACTTGCACACCCTCAGGGCCACCCCTGACCACTTAGACGACGGTAACGAAATTTTATTGTCGTCTAATTACCATTAGGACGACAAAAAATAACAAATAAAGGACGGTGATCCATTGTCGTCTGAATTGATAAATAGACAACGGTAATCTTGTAAAACCGTCGTCTAAGTGGTTAACAGATAATGATAAATTACTGTCGTCTAAAGTATCACAATAGACAATAGTCACCTATACGATAGTCTGATAGCACATTAGACGACGGTGGTCCACATCCTTTTTTTCTAGTGAAGAGCATAAAATGATGGTGGTGGGGTTTTAAATCAGATATGATGCAGTGGCTAATGTATGATAGTATAAGAATAGAGTAATGAACATGATGCATAGGGTGAAAATATAACCTACCAATAAAAAGATGCTTAAAGTTGAAAAGCTTGAAGTATTGTCATATTAGTTTAGTAAAGGCATTTGAAAGTTGTCAGATGAGAGAAAGAAGTCCTTCTGTGGTGCATCGGGTGCACTGGTACAGCCCATCACGTGAGGTTTTTTTAAAAACAAGGGAAACCTGCTGACCTGGTCAACAGGTAAAAAATTTGACGCGCTGCTGATGTGAACAGGGGAACGATTTCACGTTCACGCTCACTCAACGTTCTTCTTCCTCAAACTGATAATCTTTTCTGCAACTTCAAACTTCAAACTGATAATCTTTTCTTCAACTCCTCCTGCAGAAAGTTTCTTCCTCCTCTCTGCAACCTCTCTCTCTTCTTTGTCATCATTGTCAAAAACCCCCTATTCTAGGGTTTGGATTTTGGGGAAAATTTTAGGGTTAGTATTTCGGGTTGATAATAGGAATTGGAAATCAGTTTTTCCAGTCACTGCGTTGGCACTCCTCTCATCTACAATCGAGCCCTTCTGAAAGCATTTGGTAATAGTTCCTTGTGAAGGTAAGTCAACACTATGTTTTATTTTATTGTTAATTGAAATTCTGTGGTGATGACTTGGGGCAAGAGGGGAAGTAGGTTTCTCACATTGATGAGATGAAGTGGGTTTCTCATTTTGAAAGTGTCGTGAGGTGAAGTGGGTATCTCACATTCATGGTTGTAATGTTCATGCAATTGCATATCTGTATATGCAATTACTAATCTCCTGTATGCAAATCCAAGTCATTGAATGCAATTACAGTATCTAGTTTAGTTTTCAAATTATGCAAGTGAGGTGATTTCGTGGTAGGTAGGTTTGACTGTGTTTTTGAATATTTTGTTATGGGGAGTAAAGTGTTCCGAAAGTGTAATGTTAGGATTGGTTAAGATTTGGATTGGGATTTGAAAAGAGTAAGAATCCCGGCCCAATAGAGAAATGCATGGGTGGGTTGTGTGCGTTATCTGTGCAATGTTATAATCGAGGGCTGATGCACTTGCAAGTAGTGTCGTGCAATTGCATATCAGTATATGCAATTACTAAGCAACTGTGTGCAAATCCAGGTCCCCGTATTTTTATAATTAAGCAATGTGTGATGTTGTGGTGTTTACGGGGTTTAGGGTGTATTTAGTATTCAAAATCTCGGCGCTAGAGACAATTGCATGACAGTGTTTTGTACTTGATTTGTGCAAGTTATGGAAGCTCAAAAAAGGGGATCAACGAAAGGAAAGCGCAAGGCCGAGAGTAATGTGCAACAATCAAGAGTTGGCCAAGATGCATTTTTTAATTTCATGTAAGTTACATGTACATCTAAAAATTGGAAATGTGGTTGCTTAATATTATGATGGTTTTTTGATTAAAAATAAATGATTTACAGGAAAAAAGAACGACTTGAAATGGGGAAAGGGGCCAATGCAAAGTTGGACAGTAAGGTGAGAGATGGCTATTGATTGGGTCAATTTATTATTTATTGTATTAAAAAGGCTCTTTTAATGAGAATTTTGTTTTTCAGGTACAAGAAGAGATTGCTAACAAGTGGAGGAAATTGAACCCTACAGAGAAGGCAACATATGGTGCTACCTTGGAAGGTTCGAGTGGGAAAGTACAAGGTTCGACTGGGCAAGTAGACGACTCAGTGAATGAGATGGGTTTTATCACTAGATGCAGCCCGGACCGATTCCATCGTACAGTGGAAAAATTGTCGAATGAGAAGCGGTTAGCAATTAATGCTATTGGGTTCGGTAATATGGCATCATTGTCCTGCACTCGTTTACACCGCCAACTATGCCAATTTTTTATTCAAAAGTTCAATCCTGATATGTCCTCTATAGAACTACACGGCAATGTGTTTGGAATAGGTGCCATTGAGTTTGGGCGTGTTATGGGGTTTAAGAACACCGGCGAGGATGTCCAACTGGACTGTGCTGTAGAAGATGAAAAGGTGAAATAGTTAGTGAAGAGTTTCAGTGGAAATGGCAAGAGAGTATTAGTAAAGGGTTTAGTAGAACAATTGGAAAAGTGCGAACATGTGGATGAGGACTTTAAAGTTTGACTCGTGATGTTTGCACTTGGCACTGTACTTTGCCCCACATCTTCACCATCAGTGATCGGGAACTATTTAACTTTCTTGACGATCCCAGAGAAGATAGAGACCAAGAACTAGGCCGACCATGGATTCAACTTCTTATGTGAAGGTGTTAGGTCGTTCCAAGCGAAGAAAGTTTCATATGTAAATGGGTCACTGCTTTTTCTCCAACTATTCTATTTCGATTCAATTCTCCATGGTGGAGTATATGTTGATAAGTCTTTGGATCCCATTGTGTCATGGGACAATAAATCGGTGTGGAAAATGATTAAATGGGTTAGAAAGCAAGGTGGGTTTGATAGTCCTACCGTTCGGGTTGTTTCACTACACAGGGCCCCTGATTTTTGAGGACCCCCTAAATTTTTTTACTTTATATAATATATATTAATATTAGAGATATTCATTGAAATGTCACCTGAACTTATACCTTAGTTTCAATTTGTCACCTTAAAATTTTTTTTAAGTGAAATGTCATTTGAATTTTTCAAAATCCATGATTTGTCACCTCCCTTTAACATCATCCAATTTTCCAACAATTTTCAAGGGTATTTTAGTCTTTTTATTTTCAAGAGTATTTTAAAAATGGAAAAATAATTATATAAAAAATTATGAAAAGACCCTTGAAAATTATAAAAATTATATATCTTTTCACATTTAATCCGCATCCATTTTTACATTTAAGCTTTATTTTTTTAATAATAATTTTTTCCATTTTTAAAATATCCTTGAAAATGAAAAGACTAAAATACCCTTGAAAATAGATGGAAAATCAGATGATGTTAAACTCAGGTGACAAATCATGGATTTTGAAAAATTCAGGTGACATTTCACTTAAATTATTTTTTCAAGTGACAAATTGAAACTAAGGTATAAGTTCAGGTGACATTTCAACAAATATCCCTTAATATTATAAAAACTATATATATATATATATATATATATATATATATATATACTCCAACATGCAGCACATTGACACAAAAAATGTATTTAGTAGAGTTGGTTTATAGTGCATATCCCTTGGTACAATAATAATTTCTTCTACTCAAAACCAAAAAATAAAAAAAATAAAAAAATTATGTCTTCTTTTTTCTCGTGAACTCTTAGTTTTTCTTACCGAATATACATGTAACACCCCGACTCCAAATTTATTCATATTTTAATTAAATTAAGAGAATTATTAATTTACTCTTGGGTTAAGGGTAATTTTGGTCATTTTCTTATCCGGAAGGATTTCGGGACCACGAGTGGTTTGGTTGCGTAGGTGGTACTGAGACGAAACCGTAGACAGGCAGTAGCCTTGAATCGGAGTTGTAACGAAGTTTTGGCGAGCAAATTAAGCTCGATGGCGGAACCGTAATTATTTCAAAGTGAGTTTGGGGTAAAATCAGATTTTTCACATTTACCCCTCACTTTCTCTCTCTCTCCCGCGTCTCCTCCCTCTGCGATTTCCCCCTCCCCCGTGTTTCACTGTTCACCGAATCGAGAAAACCCTCACAGTCGTCACGTTCGGTCACCTCAGCCCTCGAGACCGATCCAGTTCGACTCGTCGTGAAGTTCCGATCAAAACCCACCTGTTATCCCGACCGGAAAGCTCGAAATCCGGCCACGATATCGACTGGTTTTTCTCCCGGTTTTCACCACGACAGCGCAGCGATTCCGGCCGAATTTTCCGTCGAGTTTGGTATGTTTTCGAACCCTCTCCGTATGCTCTAGCTGTTTTTGGGGTAGGTTTGGATCGATTTTGAGTTTTGGAACCGAATTGGAAACCTAGGTTTTCGCCGGTTTTCAATTTGAGATTTCGGCCAGTTCCCGTGCGAATTGGACCTCGTGGTAGTTGAATAAAGTGATCCTGACCTTGAGAAGAAGCTAGGGTAGGAAGGGTGAGCGTTGGTGTGGAGATTTTCCGTCGCCGGAAATTTCTCTACACACCCACGCGCTGCCGGCGCGTGTGGCGGCGCGTGGGCAAGGCTGTTGAAGTTGCTTTTTATCCTGATGAGATCATTAGGTTGTCACGAGTGCATAGGATTTTACGGATCTCAATTTGGATGTCGTTTGACTATCGAACGGATTTCGCATATTGTGCGTTATTCGGGTTCGATAAGTTCTAACCGTTGGATCGTTTCCAAATTGAAGTATGTTGATTTAGGTACTCTTAGAATCCTATAGGAATTCGTGGATCGTGAATCGGAGCCCCGGATGTTCCGATTCAATAATTCGAAGTTTGTGGGATTAACGATAACTATAGGATGGGAAGCGATTCCCAAACTTGTAACCGGACCTTAGGATATCCTATTGGACGTACACGCACCGGGATCTTGGGGATTTAAGTATTCTCTTTTGTGAATTCCCGTTTCGAAGTGTATTATATTAATCAAGGGTTCGTATCTCGAAATAGGTACTTCGGTCGATCGTTCGCAGCAGGCAGGACCCTCTCGGGGCCGGGCAGCGTGGGATTACCTGTGAGTGGACTTTGTTTTCAAGCATTTGCATGGTTTTATTGATAAAAGATTTGTGCATATGTTTTAAATGGAAATGTGATTTATTAAGTATTTGGTTGATGACTTTGGATATTCATATACGTATTGGCAATATATTTTGAGTATGGCTATGTTTGAGCATTATGGATATGTTTATATGGATTGTGGGATGTCTATCTATATTGCCTATGTATGGAGTATGAGGAGTTGTTGTTATGAGATTGTGGAAAGATATGAGTTTGAGGGATGGTTGTGAGATGTATGAGTATGTTAGGTGAGTACCATTCCCTGGTTACTAGGCTTCCCACACATGGCGTTGGCAGTGCCGGTGGGGTGGGAAGCCATGAGATTGCTGGTCTCATACATGGCGTTGGCAGTGCCGGTGTATGGGAAGAGTATGTATATTGCTTAGTATCATCACACATGGCGTTGGCAGTGCCGGTGGGGTGATGATACTGTCTGCGCGCGTAGGACTTGATATGAGATTTGTGAGCTACACGTGTCGTTGGCAGTGCCGGCGTGTGAGCTATGGAGTTCCGTCCCCCGGTTGGACTACTCATCCCTGGACGCGGGTTCATGTTCGAAAATCCTGCGTACCAGCCAACAATCCCCCGGTTGGATTGTCTTCCCCGGTACATTAGTATGGAGAGAAGTATACGTTATATTATAGATATATATATATATATATACTTATATATGTATACATATGTATGGGTTGGTGAGAGTTGCATACTTGTGGGAATGGAGTTGTGGTTTGAGATTTTTGAGAGTTATTGGACTTTGAGATTTTATGTTTGAGTATTTGATTTATGGATGTGGAAACTGCATGCTTGAGCATTATTTTTACACGGTGGGGTTACTATGTTGTTTTAAATGCAAACTTTATTTTTGTCCACTCACATATTTCTGTTTTGCGCCCCCCAGGCAGTAGTGGCTTTTGGAAGCGCTCAAGCAAGTTGCGAGCTCCAAACATTTCATCTGTAGATAGGATTCGTGTAAATTCCTTCTACTCTACTGTTGTTGTAAACAAATTCTGTTAGATGCTCTGTTATCGCCCATGTTAGGTTGTTACTTGAGGCCGGAGGCCACTTTATTTTGAATTGTTGTATGTTGAAAGCATGCTGGCAGTTGGGATTTATGTTATGTAAATTATGCAGGCTGAATGTTGTTGGGCTTGAGCATTTTACAGGGGAGACTCTGCCAAAATTTTGGTAGGATGTCTTGGGTTTTTAGTAAGTGGGCCCGGCATCGGTGTGATGTCGGCACCAAGACGGGGTCCGCCCCGGTTTAAGGGGAAATTCCGGGGCAGGTCCTGTCAATACAAACATTTAAATTTATCAAATGAACACAACATACACAACGAAAGCAACCCCTGCGTTCGTGTGAAAAAATAGTGCGTTTGTTTGATAAAGTATTTTACTTGGTCCAATTTCTTGAGGAACGGCAAACTTTACTCAATGAACGCACTCCTTGCATTCGCCAGAAAAAATAGCCCGTTTGTTTGAAAAAGTAAGTTAGGGAGGTCCATTTTCTCAGGGAATGGGCAACTTTACTCAACGAACACACCCCTTACGTTCGCGTGAATAAATATCCCATTTGTTTGAAAAAGTAAGTTAGTTTGGTCTATTTTCCTGGGAACGGCCAACTTTACTCAACAAACGCAACCCCTGCGTTTGCCTGAACAAATAGTCATTTTTTTTGAAAAAGTAAGTTAGTTGGGTCCATTTTTCCGAGGACCAGGTGACTTTACTCAACAAACGTAACCCCTGCGTTTGTGTGAACAAATACCTCGTTCGTTTGAAAAAAAGTAAGTTAATTGGGCCCATTTTTCAGGGGAAGAGGCAACTTTACTCAACGAACAAAACTCATTACGTTCACGTTAACAAATAGCCCGTTTATTTGAAAAAGAATGTTAGTTGGCCCCTTTTTTAGGGAAATAAACAACTTTACTCAACGAACGCAACCTGTGCATTCGCGTGAACAAATAGCCCGTTTGTTGGAAAAAGTAAGTTAGTTGGGTCTATTTTTCCATGGAACAGGCAACTTTACTCAATGAACGCAGTCTCTGCATTTGCATGAACAAATAGCTCGTTTGTTTGAAAAAGTAAGTTAGTTGGGCCCATTTTTCCGGGGAACAGGCAACTTTACTTAATAAGCGAAACCTATTGCGTTCACGTGAACAAATAGCCCGTTTGTTTGAAAAAGTAAGTTAGTTGGCCCGTTTTTAGGGAAACGGACAACTTTACTCAATGGACGCAACCTGTGCATTCGCGTGAACAAATAGCCCGTTTGTTTGAAAAAGTAAGTTAGTTGGGTCTATTTTTCCGTGGAACGGGCAACTTTACTCAACGAACGCAGTCTCTGCATTTGCATGAACAAATAGCTCGTTTGTTTGAAAAAGTAAGTTAGTTGGGCCCATTTTTCTGAAGAACAGGAAATTTTACTCAACGAACGCAATCCTTGCATTCGCGTGAACAAATTGCCCGTTTGTTTGAAAAAGTAAGTTAGTTGGGACTATTTTTTCAGGGAACATGCAACTTTACTCAACGAACATAACCTCTGCGTTGGCATGAATAAATAGTCCGTTTGTTTGAAAAAGTAAGTTAGTTGGGCTCTTTTTTCCAAAGAACGGGCAACTTTACTCAACAAACACAACTCATGCGTTTGTATGAACAAATAGCCCGTTTGTTTGAAAAAGTAAGTTAGTTGGGCCCATTTTTCCGGAGAATAGGCAACTTTACTCAACAAACGAAGCCCATTGCATTCACGTAAACAAATAGCCCGTTTGTTTGAAAAAGTAAGTTAGTTTGGCCTATTTTTTCAGGGAACGAGCAACTTTACTCAACGAACACAATCTCTGCGTTTGCGTGAACATATAGCCCGTTTGTTTGAAAAAGTAAGTTAGTGGGGCCCATTTTTTCGAAGAACGGGCAACTTTAGTCAACAAACACAAGAACAAATAGCCCGTTTGTTTAAAAAGTAAGTTAGTTAGACTCATTTTTCTAGAGAACGGTCAACTTTACTCAATGAACGCAACCCTTGCGTTCGTGTGAACAAATAGCCCATTTGTTTGAAAAAGTAAGTTAGTTGGGTCCAATTTCATGAGGAATGGCCAATTTTATTCAACGAACGCACCCCTTACTTCCTCAAAGTAAAATACCATGTTTGTTGAGTAAACCATGGAGTTCGTCGGGTAATGTGGTCAACGGGCAACATCATTTACCCAACGAACGAGTTGCTTAGCTTTCGTTAGGTAGGTTTGTTGGCATAAATTACTCAATATAACTTTCGTGATTTACTACTAATTTAACCCAATGAACTATTGGGAATAAAATTGAACTTCGTTGATTGTCTCCAATTATTACTATATTGTTAATTGAAAAAAAATCAATAATATCAAACATATGATTGTTGATACAAATATAAATTTAAAAAATTTCAACAAAAATTATTACTTAATGGTCGATTGATTAAGCCACATTGAATTGACGAAAAAGAAAATTGGACTTTTTCGATTATGATCAATGCCCAATTGATAATATATGATCATGAATGTTTATGACATGAAGTGGAAGTATGAGAAGTCTTCTTATATCGAGTCTCATTGCATAGCCCTAATACGAACCATATTCCAATGATTGTTGTGCTATTATGATTTTAGACTAAATATCATAGTTGAAAACAACGATTTTACCCATAAATGATGGTGAAATATCCAGAAAAGAAAGCAACATCACATGTTTGGCTTTAGGGCATATATTTAACATCCTTTCATATTATTTTATTTTACATAATTCAATTATGTTTAACGTATGAAATGACCAATTTGCCATCATATTTAATGACAGATTGGACAAAATATTAGGTAATTAAACGGCAGGGAAGATATTGGCGATAAAGACAAATTCATATCCTTAATTTTATAAAAAAAATGTCATGAGATAAATTGAAAATTGGGTACAAGTTCAAGGACTAAATCAACAATTTAGCCATGTTTAATGGTTTTTGGGCATATATCGCATATTTGATAGCACATGTGTGCAATTCTCAGTTTATAATATGCATATGCATATACTTGTATGCAATTTTGTAGTATCTATGTGCAATTCTCATTTTACAATATGCAATTGCATATATATGTATGCAATTTCGTAATGTCTGTTTGCAATTCTTAGTTTACAATATGCAATTGCATTCCGTCCTTCTTTTGGTTTTTAACTTTGTTGTTTTTACTAGAAGGCTCATTGGCTCACACTCTTATAATGTATGCAAAGATCACCAAATTTCCTCTTTTTGGCTAGAGGGCCTCTTTTGTGTGTGTGTTCATTTGCATGACAATACTGATAATCTACTAGTACCTAAAAGCTATAGAAAATTAAATGTCATATCATCTATTTTCTCTAACCAAGACTACATGTCACATAAATAAGAAATAATATCTCAAAAAAGAAACATAAGCAAAGAAAACACTTTACCTAAAATATTTTGTAATACGTTTAGCTCAATTTTAACTTGTGGAGTACACAAATGTTAGCCCCTAAATATTAGGCTCTCAGAAGAAGGTGAGAATCTCACCAAGTATGCATGAAAAGTACAAGTGAGCATACCCCTTCCTGCAAATGCAAGGGAGGTAGAGAGAGATTATTTAAACACTGTGATAGTATCTCAAAACACATATTTCAGTGTAACAAAAATGCACTTTTCTTAATTGCTCTTTTCCTGAATCCTTAGCCAGAGCAACCAATATATAGCAGTTATGGCAATCATAGCAACCAATACCAATCACATTTGAACCATACACTTACAGATTTAGCAATACAATCTTTGAAATGGTAATGTCAACCCAAGACACTCAGCTCCATCCCGGATATACGAACAGCAGCCATTGTGTTAGGAAGCTCTTCCCTCATAACATCCATTAGCTTTTCAAGTGATTGAGTTGGTCTCTTGAAAGCCCTTGAAAAAACCACATTGGGAATTCACCTTCCTAAAAACGATTGCACAAGAAAACCATAGCCAGTTTTTCCAATTGCCAATGTTAATTAAAATCATGGAGTATTCAAGATTACAAACCAGAAGCGTGATGATTGCATAGCAAAAGAGCCACGTCATAGAAACTACTACCTACTAGGAAAAACCAAAAACAAAATTTGACTCAATAGCAGAAACATAACACCAATTTATGTAATTCTTTCAAAAAAATGTAGCTGAGATTGTTGGGTTTTGCTTTCAGAATACCCTGAAGAAAAACCCACTTTAAAGAATCTAATTTCCAAAGCATATTAAGCTTCAATTAGAAACAGAACTGTGCATCCAAAAGCTGGGTTTAGGGAGAGAGAGTATGAAAACATGAGTTTACGATAACTTACATAACTCTATACCTTTTTCATGATGAGCTTTCACTTACAAAAACACTTCAATTTAGACATGTGAAAACTTTAACATTGGGTTCCCAAATTAAATTTCTTTGTTTTGTCATATAATTCACACTATTAACAAGAAAGATTACGCAAGCAGTCAATTGGAGTTTTCTCTTTCATACCAATTTCCTTCGGCACTACATTCGCCAACTACTGCCATTTTTTGTATTCCGGAAGTTACCTGCAAAATGTTTATAATTAAAACCAAATTGGGAAGAAAGCTAAAAAAACACACTGAGAAATGACAACAATTTGTAACCTGTGGCCTAAAGGAGGAGTTGGAAAACAGTGAATTTTCCACTCTCAAGTTGCACCCTCTGCAGCCAAAAAGATAAGAAGGATCAATGCACAAATTGAGAATTGGAGTTTCGTATGCATTTAGTTTTATTTTTGCCCAATTATTTCAGAGAGAGAGAGAGATTACACGGGAAGCAGGTGAGAAAGTGAAGCCTAGTGTGCAGGAAGCCATCGTTGTGCGTTGGGCTCTGCGTTATCCTCCACTTCGATCTTAGGTTTAGAGTTTTAGCAGTTCTTGTATAAATTGATAGTACCTGCCTTCTACCTTAACTCAATATCTCAAGAACAATGATATTATTTCTTTCACAAAGAACAAGATACAATTTCTCAACTAACTCCCTCAAATACAGACTCACTTAGTTAATATAGAGTTAACCTAACCAACTGTCAACTAAACATAGCCTAACTAATGGTTAACAACTAACCCTAGTTCCAGCTTATATAGAGATTCCTATCTACCCTCCCCACAAAAACAATCCTTGTCCTCAAGGATGAAATTCTGGAATTCGAACCAACAAGTTGCTGCCATTTCAGTGATGGATGTGTGCCATTGAACTCATATTGTTGTAGCAATATATCAACTGGTTGGCTTGAACAAGGCCACCATCAGAGCATGCAATTACAAAGATGCTGAACCAAACAATACTCATGGTCTCACTGCTGCTGGATTGGCAGCCCACCCACATAAAACTCCCCAATTATTGGAAAGCTCACTAACACATCAATGGCTCCAAGTCCTTTGGAATGAGCCCTGGGAGAAAGAAGTAAAGCTCTCAGCGACTCAAGCTCATAGCCATAAACCTTGCAGAAATTTTCTTCTTTTCCAGTATGCCCATTATCAACTTCCAATCCACCACCTTGGTCACGTATGCCCAGACGGTAGCCAAGGTCAAAATCAAGAATGCAATTACCCAACGGAAGAGTAAAAACAGTGTGGACACAATCATAATCCTGGACCCTAACCACTTGAATAGTGCCAAACCAATGAAATTTCGTGAACTACCAGAATCAAGGAAAATGACAACTGAACAATTCTTGATAAAGCCCTGTATCACCATAACCTTGAGCAATTTTAGAGTTGGCGTAGAGGCTTCTTGAACAGGAACAAAACGAAGCAAGTACAAGTCCTGGCGAAGCTCTCTGTCATCAACTCTCCAATGAAGCAACTCGTGAGAAACTCACCACCACCATTGGCTCGAATGCCCATATGGCAGCCAAGATCAAAATCAAGAAGTGCAGTACCGCCATTGCATACCCAACATGAGTGTGACATTTCAGCAAACAAATGGAGAGCATGTGGTGATCTGCCAGATGTATCAACCCCAAAACCCAATTGCTTCCAAGCTTCTTGATAAAGATTCTTCAAAGACAAAAACCGAGTAATCTTCTGAATTGAACCGATGGAAAAAGAAGACAACTAAGCAGGCAAACCTTGCGTGGATGTCCGATGACTGTTGCATCTCGGCGTCGGCAGAGGTGAGACTCCCAGATTCTGATTTGGGGACATAGATGAGGATTGGATTTCCAAGAGAGAGAGATCGATCGCAGAGATAAGCAGCTCCAGTGCACGCGAGGGCTTCCGCGCTTTCGTTGAAGCTTTTTACTTGTTTTCTTAGTCACGTATGTCACGTGATATTTAATAACAAAGGGCACAACAAGTCTTCAGGTCATTTAATCTTAGCCCTTCATTTTTAAAATGCAATACTGGCCCTTGGATAACTGGCTGCACCGGTACAGCCGATGTACCACAGAATTTTCGAATTTTGCTTGGCATGTTATTTATTTATTTTGCTGTTATGAAGTCTGACATTCGCATGGTTTTTTTATATTTTTTATATTTGCGTTGGATGCTTCTTTTTGCTTTTTTCCTTTTTTATTGATGGCTTGCTTTGTAATTGTAGCCGTTGCTTCTCCCTTCCACATGGGGTGATCTTCCTTCTTGTTTTTATATCTCAACCGAGAACCAGCCGGTCAAGCTGGTCTCGTCAAAACAATTCGTCGTTGTGCTTTTCAAACGTCCCCGAGTCTATTGGGACAAGTGGTTTGGCCACAGGAGATCGAGGAGCGCCATAGGCAGACCGATAGCTCGTTGGCCCCAGTACAGTTTGGTGTAATTATCACTTCACGTGATGATGGATACTATCAAAAACACCACTTGATAAACTTTTTGACCTGATTGCATATTTGGCATGACAACATATAATATTTTATAATGAAATCATTAAAGGAAGAAATATCTTATCTTATCTTTTGCATCACTTCCATTATTGGCACTCATGCCATGGTGGAGACAGGAGCATGCGCACGTCTCCCACTTTTTTTTTAATATATATTTTTTTATTTCTCCACTGTTGCCTTTGGTCTGCCGCGGTCCATTTCTTTGTTGTAGTTTCCTGACATTGATACTTATGGTGAAGTCATTTAAGAGATACGGGGATGAGCAAGTGTTCCGTTTTGATTGTGAAAATTTCTTACGGGAGAATATTCACGTGTAGATTCTTCATCCTTTGAGTTTTCTTCTTTCTCTTTTTAAGTTCTTGCGAAATAAATAGGAGTAAAAGACCACACTCAGAGGATGTTGTCTAAAGACCCTCCGATACCTAAGTTAGTTCAATTCGGTCTTTTAGAAAAGATGCGGCAATAAATAAAAAGGATGGAGTTTTCTCTCACGAGGAGAGTCAGGTGGCCAGAGCCGTGTGTGGTGGTGGTGCTTAGCATTATGAGGAGAGGGAGAGAGGAGCGGCAAGAGAGAGAGAGAGAGAGAGAGAGAGAGAGAGAGAGGTGTTTCTCTCAGGTTTTAGAACTAGGTTTAGGATTACCTTGAATGTCATGTATATGTATTTATAGCTTCCTTGTGTGCTAGGGTTTTGGGAGAATAATCCTTATTTGGTTAGGATTATTCTTCCAAAAAAAAAAAAAATAGGAATTACTCCAAGAGATTTGGTGGAGATTGGTTCCTTGATTTATGGAGATATTCCTATCTTAAATCAAAGATAATTTCCCGAATTAAAAAGAAATTAATTAGGGTAATTAGTTTGATCTAAGGAGTATTCCTTTTCCACGTGTTGTCTTCTTATTGGCTGGTGAAATATATGCTCCCACATCTCCCACCACATCTCGATAACTATAGAGAGGTTAGGGTTGCTACGAAGGTGATTTATGATGATGACTAGGCTTGCTAATGGTGTTTCATAGTGGAGATGGAGGTGAACGGCAGAGCTAGCCTCAACAGTTGATGGCAGTGGTCAACGGCTTTGCATGTTGGCTGAAGCCAGCAGTCAGTTTATCGGTGAATAATGGATGTTGAGCTCAATCTTCTTATGTGCTTAATTTTTTGTTATCTTTGATTTAGATTTAGATTTGCTTGGCATGAATCCCCCCAAGTCATTTGAATTTAGGGATGATTGTGGAGTTTGCTTTGGTGTCTCCGGCACCTCAGTGGCATGGGTGGTCCACTTAGTGGCCCGACAAGATGTTTCCCTCTTTTAGGCCAAGGCGGCCGACGGAAGGAATTTTTGGTCCTCCTTTTTTTGAGTACGGGGCGTGCCACCACCAAGCCTTGAATTTGGGCTTGAATGAAATGTGAATAGATGGATGTGTTGCGCTTCTAACTTCTGACCAAACGATTGATCGGCCAAGCAAGGAACCTCCTATTGGCCTAGATTCTTTCACTTCCTCGGGCTCGAGGATGGTTAGGTTTCGTACGGATGTTTTTTGTGATTTTATTTTTTAGGGTTTTAAGTAATAATAATGCAATTAAACTAAATATGCGTATAAACGTAAAGACAAGAGTTGAGGTGCGATAAAATAAATCAAAGCGATAAATAAAGCAAGAACGAAATAAAAGTGATAAGAACGATAAGAACGTGTTTAGGGGTGGTAGAAATCCACCTAATCCAGGCACAAGAATTGGCTGGGCTGCTGAGATGGTCCGGCTGAATCTGCTGGAGGATACATCCAGACAAGTTCGAATGTGGTAGAAGTGATTGTGACCGGGCTTTGGCTAGAGATTGCTGCCAGAAGCTAGAGTACTACGATCGGATAGAGCTAGGAAAAATGGGTAGAGAAATACGGCTGGGCACTAATTGACAAAATGTGGCGGCCAAGATTTGGAGCCCGATTTCGAAGGAGCTTGGCGGCCGAAAGCACGGTTTGAAGGAGTGTCACGACTGAGATTTGGAGTTGTTGGAATATTGCAGACGGAAGCTATTGGGACATTGCAGCTGGAGGTCTTTGGATTATTTTAGTGTGCGGTCGAAGCTTGGGAACCCTTTGCAAATTAGGCTGAAAAGTCTTTGTTTTATTATATGTATATGCATATATATATATATATATATAATAGGTGGATGAAAGGACCAAATGCGGCTAGGGCCTTTTTGGTGGTCTGCGAATTGGTTGAAGGATTCACAGGTCAAAAATCTAATTGTTATATATAATATATATATATATATATATGTGAGTAAATATCACACATGCGGCCGAAGCCTTGGAGTCCCAGCAAATATGTGGCTGGAGTGCTTTCTATTCAAAGCCCTCCATTTTCTTTTTTTTTCTTTTTTATATTGATATAATATTGTTGAGGCCCAAATATATTCTTGGCCCAATGCGATACATGACCAATAAGAAACCCAATTTGGGCACGTGAAAGTTTGTCATACACGCTTGCACAAGCCACGACCACATGCCACACCAAATAAATATGTCATTTGGCACACTAAGAATTGAAATTGGCCTATAAAAGGCACCAACTTTGCAAGCCCATGCTAGTTATCCCATCAAGCATCATAATTGAAAAACATGTCAAGCGACATGCCATGCCAAGCGGGAAATCATTATTTCACACCCAACCACGCTACAAGCCTAAGTGGGCCCAAGCCACTCAAATGCCCGGGGCTTGCTTGAGTGGGTTGTGGTATGGATGGTAATAAATCGACATGAGGCCCATTGATGGGCCGAGAAATGGAAGTCTCGGGTTGCTTGGAAGCCTCGAGACTCAAGCCCATTTTTTAGGCCCAAACATGGGGGTGAGCACAAAGGAGGAAATAGCCCATTAGCTTAACCAAATTAGCCCAACACCTCAACAAAAATAGTCCAACACTTGTTGAGGTTAGCCCATTTATTTTGACAAGGCCCATACAATTAGAAAAGAGAAGAAGCCAAAGCATCAGCTCCTTGCTGAAAACATAGAAGCCACGTAGGGAGCAAGATGTCCACATATGCAGAGCTGCTGGAAGGCTCCAGCACATGGGAAGGAACAATTTCCAAGCACAAAACACCCAAAGAACCAAGGGATATTAACGTGCAAGCTGCTAGGAAGAGAAGCACCCTTCGGAGAAATAACCAAGGGATATTGCGTCACTTTGGAGAGAAAATTTAGTTCAATTTTATGAATCCACTGAAATAATTTCTGGCTCTAACTATCCAACTATTCCTTTAGTACTAAAAGAAATAACTAAAATAAAAGACATTTGTCTTGAAATTGAAAACAATGATCTTTACAAACAGCTTAATGTATGTGATATGAAGTCAAAATTTGCAAAGTACTTTGGGGATTTGCCCTTGATTTGTGGTTTGGGTGTAATTTTAGATCCAAGGAATAAAACAAAACAAAAAATTTAAGAAGTGTTTTGTGAAATTCTTTATGAAGAAAATTCAAATACAATTTTGGAAAAAGTGCTCACAACATTAAAAGAGTTATATGAAGAGTATAAATTATATTTGTCTTTGCATGATAGATCACAACATGAACAAGCAGTACCCACATCATCTACATCTTGCACTTCAACATTTAGTTAAAAAGGAAGTCGTGTGGATGACCTTTGTGATTCTAAAAGGTTAAACACAAGCAATTTTTCATCTAATGAACGATCATGCTATCTTGATTCACACACAGAAATGGATCATGATGAAAATAATCCTTTAAATATTTTGGCATGGTGGAAATCACAGCAAAAAAATTACCCTATGCTTTCCACCATGGTCCGTGATATACTAACCATTCCAGTGTCTTCGGTTGCTTATGAATCAGCTTTTAGCAAAGGTAGGCGTGTTATAAGTGACCATCGAGCAAGTTTGACTCCAAATAGTGTTGAAGCGTGTATTTGTGGAAGTAATTAGATTAAACAAGAAGAAAATGAGTGTACAAGATGAACAAGAATGGCCAGAGTGGTTTGTCCAAGATGCAGAATAAATATTTTCTTTTTTGATTGTTTTGTAGTCTACTTCAATTTTGTTTCAACATTATTTCAAAATTTGAAGGAATTGAGTTTTTAAACGGAAAAAACGAATGGAGTTTAATAAAGCCGAAATAATGGCCCATTTCATAGGACTGCCCCGACCCGGCCCGATAACTCTTTAAGGCTGAAAAGGCCCTAAGCCCGGCCCGATAACTTCGTAAAACCTAATTGAGCTCTTCTTCTTTCCAGCCGCCTCCTCCTCACTGTTCTATCGTCTTCTCTTCTTATCTCGACTCATTGTTGTGTTTTTCGGTACTTGCTTTGCTCTCTCATCACAGTATCAGGTATATCTCATCTTTCGTCTGTATCTGAGTCATAATTTTTTCTCATCTTTCTCTTCTTATCTCGACTCATTGTTGTTTATTTGGTTTGTGGGTAAAAGTAAGGTAAAATTTTATATATTTCCATTTTGATAATTGTTGATGCCCTCTCCATTTGCTATTTGATGTTCCTTCTTTCTAGTTTTTCAGTTTTTTCCGTATTTAAATTCTATTTGCATTTGTTCTCTGTGGTTCAACATGTTATATTCATTGTTTAGGGTTCTCTAACACAGGTAAAAGAATTGCCTTTACTGTTTTTTGTATAATATTTGCCTTCATTGTTGTTTATATTCTCATGGATTTTCCGAAGCTTTTTTCGGCTCAAAACTTGCATCTATTGGATGTGGATCTTCTGTATTGGAAGATAACGAGTTTCTCTCTTTTATTTTCTTCCTCTAGTGCGAGAGAGACCTCGACCTTCTTTGTTTGCCGCCGTCTCTTCCTCTAGTCGTCAGCTCAACTTCGCAACCATGGTATTTCTCTATCCAATTCTATGTTTGTCAGCTCAAAGCACCGAGCCTTTGTGGTTTACCGTTAAACCTCCTTCTTCCTCTCTGAAAAATCCTAGAAATTCAGCAGTCCTTCCATTGAAGAATTGAAGCTCTCATCACACCATTCTACACAGCCACGATGACAGAAGACCTGGGTTGCCATGTCATGTGTCACACATGTGTTGGTATCCAAAGATTGGTAAACAAGTTGGTGCTTGTAGCGTCATTGTAATATGATGAGGAGGAATATCATCCTTAAGCATAATAAAAAAAAAAAAAATTAATTTCGAACACAAAAAAAAAAAAAAAAAAAAAAAAAAAAAAAAAAAAAAAAAAAAAAAAAATAACCACACCAATTTAATAAATAAATGTGATTTGGCATTCCTAATTAAGACAATTGGTCAAACACGTGCATATTGTGTGCTCCGTAAGCTACTGTGGATTGGTCTCTCCATCAACCATCATCGACTAATTTGGATCAAGTAATTAGGAAATAAAAAACATTACATTTCACAAAACAGGGGACAAGTTAAGCTAGACCAAAAATGCTGTACACTTCGTGCCTGTATGTAGGAATGTGTCGATTGTTTTTGTAGAAACAGGGGACAAGGTAAACCCTCCTCTGGAAACGACACACAAACAAGCCTTGCAAATGAAAAGCTCTCGACGAAAAGGCATGTTGTCCTGAAAAAAGGCCACTAATTATTCGGCATTTTCAACTTAAATAGGTTGAGAGTGAGAGTGAACTATTGAAAGGCAATACTTTGTTTGTCTCTCATGAGTCATATCATATGATGACTCGATCATTTATGTCGAGGCAAGGAATGTGAGATATGTTGGTCCTTGCAAATGAAAAGCTCTCGATGGTAAACCCTCCTCTGGAAACGACACACAAAGAAGCCTTGCAAATGAAAAGCACTCGACGAAAAGGCATGTTGTCCTGAAGTGAGGTGTCCAAGTCCCTTTCCGTCCAAAGATTTCAGACTTGAAAGTCCCCAGATGCGAAGAGTGTGAAGAGCAGAAGGGAGCAGCTGTTCCTTGAGCAATGTCTCCAAGATATCGTCACTTCCCCTGCCACCAATTGTAGTGTTTGGAGACAACAGCCTTCTGCAAATGACACTAAATTTGGAAGTTCAGTCATCTCCAAATGTCGAAGTGCTGTGAGGGTGTGAATGCGGTGGGAAAAAGACACCAGTTATTCAAAACCTGGTGTTCAGGTTCAGCATCCGATTGTGAAATCCTGTTTCTTTTCACCGCTATTCAATGTGGATGTTAACCAAAGTGCTTTCCGTTTCCATACCTCAGCTCAGCAAGATACTTCTAAATGCTAAGAAAAAGAAATAGAAGGTTTTGCAATCATCAGCAAATTTGAAAAGAAAATATTATTGCGAAAATTCTTCGAGAAGAAATCATGTCGAATACTTTCAATATATGTACGCATGCATTTACTGGATTCTCAAATTTGAAAACACCTCTGAAAGTCAAAAGAGCACCAAATAAACAACAATAGAGGACAAAAGAATACAACACTTTTTCATGTGACTTCTAATCATTAGATTGAAGATTAGCTATACAGATTCAGTGTCATTCTTCTAAGATGCAGCCATTTAGGAGTTACTTGACGATGACTTTCTTACCTCTGTGCAGTCTGCAGAGCCTTCAATCCTACAAATTTTTGCAACTTAGCCACTTATAAGAAGCATTTCCAGCCTCCAGTAGAAAATTTCAAACAGAAATCTTTGCGAATCTTTATGTAAGTCTTCAATTTTCCATTGCACTTGAGATATATAGAAAAGTCTATTGAATCAGCAGACGGTGAAGGCTGATTTTCTGTCTCAAAAGATGATGAAGTGAGCCAAGCCATGTATGAACATGCTGGGTCTGTTCCTAGAAGTCCAAATTCGAATCAACAAATTAATGACAACAGGAATTTATTCTTTATGTTTAGGTTCTAAATGCACTATAGAATCATGCTGATAAATTAATCTATGTAGACAGTAGGAAATGTGTATAGAAAGAGGTGTTTACCATGAAATATACAGCTGACCTAATCCTTGTTCAGCTCCAGTCTCAACTTGAACTGCGGAAGAACATATTTAAGTAAGCAACCATCAGAAATGAAGCAAAGGACATGACAACAAATAACACAGACAAAACAATCTATCTCAATTGACTGTTCAAATACAATAAATAACCAGTGATATGACAATATTAACCAGTGGCATCCACAGACAAAAAAATCTATCTCCATTTGAGTGTTCAATAGCACAAAGTGTATGATTCAAATCCCATATATGACTAATGTAATGTGGCGGACCTGTTGGTGACGACTCCATATTACAAGAACTGAGATGATATACCCATCAAATAATTAAAAGGGTAGTTACTTGATGACTTACCTTTTTGCAGAGCATTTGATGACACCACATATTGCAACTTAACCACTTATAAGAGGTACCTCCAGGATCCAACAGAAAAAATGTTTACTCTTTGTGTAGATCACTTCAGTAATTTTCCATTGCACTTTTAGATTCTAGAAAAATCCATTGGCTCAGAACACAATTCGAGGCCCATTTTCTGTCTGAAATGCTGATGACGTGATACATTTAATGTATGAACCTGCTTGGTTTGATCCTACCAATCCAATTTGGAATAAGAAAATTGATGGTAATAGGAAAGCAACAAAAAAGTGAACCATATTAAATCTTGCTGAGAAACTAATCTGATATACCCTTACAGAAGCGAGCACAGAAAGGCCAGTGAAGCAGCTTCGACTCTGAAATCATGCATGGTTGCCTACACAAGTTGCTTTGACCTCCAAACATGGGAAAGTTTCTCAAGTCTGCAAGTATACATACAACATTTCAAGTGTCATCAAATAGAACTTTGCAGCTGAAGGAATGATTTGTGGGACGGTAAAAACAAAAAAGAAAATCATTTGCACACAAGATATTATAAATGCAATAAATATGCCAATTAGCACAAGACCTCAATCATGTTGGAAGTCAATACTCCCGGATATCAAGAATTAGGCAATAAAAATATGTTAACTGATTCTTAAATGATATTTTCCTTCTAGTTATGTAATATGCCTTCAACTTATAAAGTCCTATTTCTATATCGTTTTACATGTACAAAAATTCTTCTTCTTTTTTTTCAATTACGAAATCCAACTTTCGCGAAAAATAAAGGAGTATAGCAACAGCCAGCGAGGTATACACCCTTAGCAGGTCAAAACAAAAACAATTACAGAACAACTCAAACACCAAATGAACAAAACAGAAACATCACATGAAGAAGATCTAAACTATAGCAGCTTGCCTATTTGAATAGACGACGAAGAAAGAAAAATCCCTAGAGTCCAAGGATACAGAGTCCAATGAGGTGCCGAAGAAATGAACCCTCTCCCACAAGTGATCCACATCCCCTCACCCTTCAAATCAGCAAAGAACCTCCTATCCCTATCCAACCAAACAGCCCAGTTGTAATTCATCACAGATCCCCAAAACCCGCTCTCTTCTTTCTACCAAAAAATTTAAGCTTTACACAACAATGCATTACATGAAGCAGGGTTAACTCAGCTACTAGGTCAGCTGGACCAGGGAGATACACTTTTGAAATATGTAGTTTTTTATTCTGAGAGGCCGACTCCTTTTAGTAGAAAAAAAGAAGAAGAGATTAATCAATTAATAATAGAGTCATAAAGCCTCAGCTGATATGCCAAGTACTATTAATCTAAAGAGTCATAAAAGTAACCAATATGCTTTGGATCGCATTTTCCATTCATGAATCTGTTCCTTATACCATGTGAATAAATTTCCTAGGTCAATCTTTTCAGTTGAACAAAACCTTTTGGTAAGAAATTTGTTTTGTTACTACTGAGTTTTATATTTAGAAAGTACCAACAAATAGAAAAAGTATCTTACAAACGTCCAAAACATGACAAAAATAATGCATGTATTCTTCAAACATCCCATTGTTGGAAAAATAAAATAAAATAAAATTTGGCCTATCTTGATGTACATACCATATGATGACTTCAAGGATATGATGATGTGAGAGAGAGAAAGAGAGAGAGAGAGCTCATCTCATATGGTCACTTCATGGCCTATCTTGATACAAGGAATGTGAGATATGTTGGCCCAATCTTTTCCTGTCTTCTCTTATACCTTTTCTCCCGGGAAAAACACTTGGAGATACTCAGAAAAGAAAGAGAAGTGATGTTTTTAAGTCCCTTTCTGTCCAAAGATTTCAGACTTGATAGTCTATTGATGTGGAGAATGTAAAGAGTGGAAGGGAGCAACTGTTGCTTGAGCAACATCTCCAAGATATCATCACTTCCCCTGCCACCAATTGTAAATTCTTCAAGGGAGACAAGTCCTTGCAAATCCCAGTGCTCTCCCACTGAAGCCCTCAGTCTGTTGCAATTTTCAATGGTAAAATATAGGAGGTTGGGAGGCAAACCCCCATCTTCTGCAAATGACTCCAGATTTGGAAGATCACATATTGACAAATGTTGAAGGGCTGCGAGGGTGTGAATGCGTTCGGACAATGACTTCAAATTTTCAGACAGAGTGAAATGCCGAAAAGCAAAAATTTGGTGTGAGAGAGAACTCATATCATATGATGACTTCATCATTTATCTGGACGAAAGGAAGGTGAGATATCTTGGCCCCATCTTCTCCCATCTTATTTTCATACCTTTACTCCAAGGCAAACAAATGGAGATATCTCAGAAAAGAAAGAGTCTTCTGGCAGGAATTGGAGACTCAGACAGCCATAAATATGTATCTGTTGAAGAGAAGTAAGGTGTCGAAGTCCCTCTCCTTGCAGGCATTCCAAACTGCTACACTGGAGAATATGCAGCACTTGAAGAGAAGTTTGGTGTCCGAGTCCCTCTCCTTGCAGGAATTCCAAACTGTCACACTGGAGAATATTCAGCACTTGAAGAGAAGTGAGGTGTCCGAGTCCCTTTTCATCCAAAGAATTCAGACTTGAAAGTTCCCAGATGCTGTTCCTCAACGCCTCCAAGATATCGCCACTTTCCCTGCCACCAATTGTAAATTTTTGAAGGGAGACAAACCCCACTGAAGGCCTCAGTCTCTGGCAATTATGAATGTGAAGATATTGGAGGTTGGGAGGCAAACCTTTTCTGCAAATGACACAAGATTTGGAAGACCAAGTATCCGCAAACTTTGAAGGGCAGTGAGGATGTGAATACGTTGCGGTAATGACTTCAAATTCTTGTATCCCCCAACTCTAAAGTCATTAAAGTTATTAAAAACATTGTCAGTTGCTGCGAAATAATATGGGTGATGTGGGGGATAAGGATAAGGCATAACTTTGAAAAACCAAGACATAACAAAGAAAAGAACAAAGCTTAAACAAGGTTAATTCTCTAAGAAAATTTTGTAATTGCTGAATGATCTCTCTCCTCAACCAAAGACCACCGGTTGATACTAAGACAATATACATTAGTAAGGACACAGCGTTTATTCATACATGCAGTACCAATGAATGTGCCCCTCGGGCACTGGAACAATATGAATGGTAAATATCATGCTCACATCTTCAAAAAGATGAAAACAATAATATACTGCCACTTTTATTATGAAAGAGTACCTAAAAGTGTGGGACATTTGATGCCTGTCTGTAGGAATGTTTCCAGGTGAACCTTTCCGTCTCCCCTCGTTGTGACAATAGTTTTTTGTAGAAAAACAAAAGTCTATAAACAATGGCCCGGAAATGACACGTTCAGAAACCTTGCAAATGAAAAGCTTTTCAAGAGAAGGTGCTGTCCTGCAAACCGAGTATTAATTATTCAGTATTTGATACTTACTATAGGATATAAGTTTCGAAGAAATTGAGTAAATAGAAGGAGAGAATTTACTGTGCAAAATAATAATAGAAATCAGATTGAGTTTTTGTGTGTTTTTCTGGAAAATGATTTTGATAAGAAAGTAGCATGAGACCAGTAAGAAGCAGTGACAATGTAATTCACAAAAAGCTGAGAGTAAAATTAGAAATTGAGCTTGAAATGTTTCGATTATTTGGACAGTGAATTTCAGTTTTTGAAGTACATACCTTGTTTGTTTTATTCTCTTAAGATGACTTCATCATTTATCTGGATGCGTGGAATGTGAGATATGCTGGCCCAATGATCTTGTCCCGTCTTATTCTGATACCTTTTCTCCAGGGCAGAACAATTGGAGATGCTCAGATAAGAAAGAGATGGCGGCAGACCCTCTTCTGGCAGGAATTGGAGACTCGGACAGTCATTAATATATAGCTTTTGAAGAGAAGTGAGGTGTTGAAGTGCCTCTCCTGGCAGGAATTCCAGACTTTTACACCTAATAATAGATAGACTTCGAAGAAAAGTAAGGTGTGCGAGTCCCTTTCCATCCAAAGATTTCAGAGATGAAAGTTCCTCGATGCCGAGAGTGCGAAGAGTGGTAGGGAGCAGCTGTTGCTTGAGCAACGTCTCCAAGATTTTATCACTTCCCCTGCCACCAATTGTAAAATGTTCGAGGGAGACAAGTGCTTGCAAACCCCCATCTTCTGCAATTGACTCCAGATTTGGAAGATCGATTATATTCAAATTTCCAAGGGCTGTGAAGGTGTGAATGTGTTCAGGTAATGACTTCAACTTCTCGCATTTACAGAATCCCAAATAAGTCAGGTTGGGAGTGGGCAATCCTCCCTGGGGAAAACACACCAGATTTGGACAATTATGGACCAGCAGGCTATTTAGATGACTGAGAACCACTCCTTCTTCAATCAAGCAAAGCGATTCCAGATTGTCACAATGACAAATTTCAAGATTCCTCAATTTGGGAAAAATGCCCAAGGGGAAGGACCTCATTGAATCACAGCTATTATCTATCACCAAATAGTCGAGTGATGTTAATTTGGCCAACATCTCTTGAGGTAGGAATTCTAATCTCCTACATTTGACTATTGTAAGTGATGTCAACGAAGTGGGTAGGCCATCTTCAGGGAACGAGGACAGCGTTGGACAATTCCAGAGAGACAATCTTTGAAGACGATTGATGCTGGGCAAGCACTGTATGTCATCAAAATAAGTTTGGACAGGAGCTTTGTCTCTAGTAATGATAACAGACCTGTTTGGCATCCATCTTCTATTTTCAATTCTTCAAGAGAATTGTAGTTGAGACTAGTACTACTACTAGTAGTAGCAGTGGCCCTTTGATCATGCAAAACCCCACACCCACTCACACTAAGCATCTTCAAGCAAGGCAGATCACGAGGCAAGCTTCCTCTCAGCTTCGGACACATACATAGAATCAGCACCTGGAGACGAGGAAAGTCTGGACCTCCACTTCCACTTGGTACCCATTCCTCCCACTCTGCCATCTCCTTAAACTCCAGCTTCTCCAGTGATTGAAATGGCTGAATTAGATACGCTCCATTTCTGCCATAGAACTCAACACCAATTGTCTTAACAAATTCCATCCTTTTTATATAGAGCTCTTTGAGAGCAGGTAGCCCCCCAACTGGTGGCAGCGACCAACAATATTTACAATTGCTGAGACGCATGACTTGTATGTTTGAGAAGCATGAGTTTCCTAACCAATTAGGGAAGTTGGTTCCACCGTAAAATTCGATGGTCAGTTTCTCCAAACTAATTGAAGGCTGGAGCTTGTCAAGTACATCTCTCACTTTTTCGGAATCATTCGAGTCTTCATCGCCCCATGCCAACTCTAACTTCTTCAGATCCTTCTTATTCTTCAAATTGGCTTGCACGGCATCCTTAGCATCAACTACATTTTGCAGTTTTAGAATTGAAAGTTTTCCTCGAAGATGTGGAAGCTCCCCCAATTCCCCAATGGTCGACCCAGTAGATTTCCCCACAACAAAAGCAGTCAACGTTCTCAAACTTTTTAGTCTACTCATTTGTGCTGGCATCTCTGCAATTTTAGTTCCACGCACATCAAGATGATGCAAACTACTTAATTCCCACAGGTCTACAGGCAATTTAGCAAGAGACCAACAACCTCCCAGCATTAATTTCTGTAAATTTATCAATTTTCTCAAGTCTGCAGGTAATTCAACGAGAGAGGAACAATTTGACAATAGTAACGTCTGCAAATTGTACAAACTGCAAAGTACGCCAGGTAACCTTTCAATTGCAGTTCTAGAGAGATCCAAATAGCGCAAGTGAATAAGATTTTTAATAGAATCAGGTAGCTGAGTGACATTCCTATAACGTGACAATGATAACACCCGTAAACATCTGTGTGACGACATCAAATCTTGTACAACCTTTTTACTTAGATAATACTCTTGATAAGTATTTAAAGAGGTAGGTAGAAAGGTACGCAAACACTTAGCCCCCTTAAATGGCTCACATTTCGGAGCACCATCAAAATCTTTCCTAGCATATGACAAATGGCGAACTCTTTCTACTTCATGTGATTCCCCACCACCTTCCAACCTTGAACAAAATCCTTTAGACATGAACACAGCCAAGTCATTGATGAGATCATGCATAACGAAACTTGATTTCCTTGACGTTTGAAACAATGATCGAGATAACAGTTCATCAAAATATTCCTTAGCCACCTCTTCCATGTTGTCCCCATTCTCTGCTTGCGAAATTAAACCTTCCGCCATCCAAAGAAAAACAACGTCTTCTACCTTGAATTCATAGTCTTTTGGAAAAATTGAACAATAAATAAAGCATCGCTTTAACTTAGCTGGAAGATAATGATAACTCAATCCTAGAGCAGGAAGAATGTCACTTTTCTCTGAAGGTAAATCCCAAATGCTGTTGTTTAGTACTCTATTCCATACCTCGAGTCTAACCTGGAACGTAACAAACCGCCAAGTGTTTGTGCAGCTAAAGGCAACCCATTGCACTTTCGTGCAATTTTCTTGCCGATTTCTTCCAAGCTTGGATATGCACTACAACTTACATTTCCAAACGCATGTTTTGCAAGTAATGACCAACAATCCTCATGCGACAATGGTTCCAAGGGTTGAGTGGGAACATTTTGCATGAAAGATGCTACATTTTTGTTCCGTGTTGTTACGATGACTTTACTTCCCCTTGCCCCTGAAGTAAAAGGAGTTTGGAGACAGTTCCAATCAGTATATTTCTCATTCCAAAGGTCATCCAACACAAATAAAAATTTCTTCCCCTTGAGTTGTTCTCTTAGTTCAACTTGAAGCAAATTCAGATCTGTCGTATTGCAAGGTTTTGAAGTGACTGACTCAAGAAGAGTTTTAGTTACCCTGATAGCGTCATAGTCTTCTGAAACACAAGCCCAAGCTTTAAATGTAAAATGCTCTATCACCTTATTGTCATTGTAAAGCATTCGAGCAAGGGTTGTCTTGCCAACCCCACCCATTCCAACAATGGTAATGACGGACACATCCTCCTTGCTAGCATCATCAGAGAACAACACTTTTGATAAATTTTCTTTGACTTCATCTCTACCATATACAAAAGGTTCATGAACCAAGGAAGTTGTTGGAGTTCTTTGTGAAACCTTCCTCCCAACAACTTCTGTCAAACCAAGAGCACCTTTCAGTTGTACAAAGTCTTCTAGTTTTCGTAACAACTCCTGTATCTTAACATTCATGCTTTGATAAAACTTATTACGAGAAGTAGGGAGGAAGTTCCACACCTTGTTGGTAAATTTGTCGGCTGTTTGAGATTCACCTTCCAGCTTGCATCGCAAAGCTTTATAGTTGATCTCATCCAGCAAGTCCTCCGCATCAAAGACTGCATGTTTGAGGTCGTCAAGCCACTCTCTCACAGCTGGTTTCTCAATTTGCTTCTCCTCTGCATCATCGAGCACTGCGTTCAAGGTCAACAGGGTCCTCTTCAGTTTCATGAGGAGAGGTTGATCGAGTTTCTTGTGCCGAAATAAGTCGATGAACTCGGGTGAGGCAATTCTGTCACAAATCACCTGAATGGAAGCGGAAATAAAGGCCTCTCCGATCAAAGCTCCAGCCATTTTTCTCTTCTTTTCTTTGCAAGGGAATTGGATGAAGCAATTCTTTTCTCAGCTAACACAACTTGGAAATACAGGTAAGGCAGTATGAAAGCTTTTGTGATTGTAATGATACAAGTGCCGTTGGTTGGCTGTCTTGTCAGTGTTCGGGTGGTAATTAATTTTTAAAAATGTCTCTTTCTTTCTGGGGTGACAAGAACGACCATTCAACGGTCCTCAAGTTGACCAGACTCGAATGCCGTTGATCTCTTTGTGAATCTACGGCTCTTAAACAGATTTCAAAAGGTAAGGCTGCATGAAAGCTTTTGTGACTATATATTTTCCGAGCAGTCATGTTTCATTTTCTTCGTCAACAAAGTAAAAACAAAAATATAAAAACTCAGATAAGAAATTCATATTATAAAGAAATCGATTCATATTTGAAGTTCGAGAAACAAGATAAATAAAAATAAAAATTAATGTATCATGTGCTGAAAGGTAAACATGTATGTCTTTCATTTCATTAGGAAGCTACATCAAAGGTAAAAGTTAGTTGGTGAAACTTGCTGGAATTTGGTGAAATTTTGTGGTTAGTAAAATGGTTATGCTCATCGTGATGGAAAATATATCAATTTATACATGCCCTTTGATGGTTTAAAAAGAGGGGTTGCTATTGTTAAGTTTTTAATATGAGTCATATGAAGGACTTTACCATGATGTTGAACTTATTGACTAATTTTCCTTTCATTTATTATGTTTTAGTGGGAGAAGATAATTGATCAAAGTTACCCGTAAAAGGAGAATTTCTGGGGGGTTATACATAGACCTTGGGAGTGAGTTTTATGGGTAACTTAGAAGAATTCTTTTCTATTTTGGTTAACTTGAGGACAAAAATTTATGCTCAACAGATGCTTGTGATGAATTCTTTTATATTTTGGAGCATATTTTGTCGTATGAGATCACATTTGATTTCATTTTTTAATTGAAATATTTTGAAACATGTTTTGAGAATTGCAAAAGTCTATTAATTGCATATGAAACAACCTAAAAAAAAAAGGATATAAACCTACAATACCATTACAAAATATCACCACTTAGACGACGGTAACGAAATTTTATTATTGTCGTCTAATTACCATTAGGACGACAAAAAATAACAAATAGAGGACGGTGATCCATTGTCGTCTGAATTGATAAATAGACAACGGTAATCTTGTAAAACCGTCGTCTAAGTGATTAACAGATAATGATAAATTACCGTCGTCTAAAGTATCACAATAGACAGCAGTCACCTATACGACAATCTGATAGCACATTAGACGACGGTGGTCCACAGCCTTTTTTTCTAGTGAAGAGCATAAAATGATGGTGGTGGGGTATTAAATCAGATATGATGCGGTGGCTAATGTATGATAATATAAGAATAGAGTAATGAACATGATGCATGGGGTGAAAATATAACCTACCAATAAAAAGATGCTTAAAGTTGAAAAGCTTGAAGTATTGTCATATTAGTTTAGTAAAGGCATTTGAAAGTTGTCAGATGAGAGAAAGAAATAATTTTGCTTGGCATGTTATTTATTTATTTTGCTGTTATGAAGTCTGACATTCGCATGGTTTTTTTATATTTTTTATATTTGCATAGATGGATGCTTCTTTTTGCTTTTTTCCTTTTTTATTGATGGCTTGCTTTGTAATTGCAGCCGTTGCTTCTCCCTTTCACATGGGGTGACCTTCCTTTTTGTTTTTATATCTCAACCGAGAACCAGCCGGTCAAGCTGGTCCCGTCAAAACAATTCGTCGTTGTGCTTTTCAAACGTCCCCGAGTCTATTAGGACAAGTGGTTTGGCCACAGGAGATCGAGGAGCGCCATAGGCAGACCGATAGCTCGTTGGCCCCAGTATAGTTTAGTGTAATTATCACTTCACGTGATGATGGATACTATCAAAAGCACCACTTGATAAACTTTTTGACCTGATTGCATATTTGGCATGACAACATATAATATTTTATAATGAAATCATTAAAGGAAGAAATATCTTATCTTATCTATTTTATAATGAAATCATTAAAGGAAAAAATATTTTATCTTATCTTTTGCATCGCTTCCATTATTGGCACTCATGCCATGGTGGAGACAGGAGCATGCGCACGTCTCCCACTTTTTTTTTATTTATATATATTTTTCTATTTCTTCACTGTTGCCTTTGGTCTGTCGCGTTCTATTTCTTTGTTGTAGTTTCCTGGTATTGATACTTATGGTGAAGTCATTTAAGAGATAAGGGGATGAGCAAGTGTTCCATTTTGATTGTGCAAATTTCTTATGGGAGAATATTCACGTGTAGATTCTTCATCCTTTGAGTTTCCTTCTTTCTCTTTTTAGGTTCTTGCGAAATAAATAGGAGTAAAAGACCACACTCGGAGGATGTTGTCTAAAGGCCCTCTGATACCTAAGTTAGTTCAATTCGGTCTTTTAGAAAAGATGCGGCAATAAATAAAAATGATGGAGTTTTCTCTCACGAGGAGAGTCAGGTGGCCAGAGCCGTGTGTGGTGGTGGTGCTTAGCCTTATGAGGAGAGGGAGAGAGGAGTGGCAAGAGAGAGAGAGAGAGAGAGAGAGAGAGAGAGAGAGGTGTTTCTAGAACTAGGTTTTGAATGTCATGTATATGTATTTATAGCTTCCTTGTGTGCTAGGGTTTTGGAAGAATAATCCTTATTTGGTTAGGAAAAATCCAAGAGATTTGGTGGAGATTGGTTCCTTGATTTAGGGAGATATTTCTATCTTAAATCAAAGATAATTTCCCGAATTAAAAAGAAATTAATTAAGGTAATTAGTTTGACCTAAGGAGTATTCCTTTTCCACGTGTCGTCTTCTTATTGGCTGGTGAAATATATGCTCCCACATCTCCCACCACATCTCGATAACTCTAGAGAGGTAAGGGTTGCTACGAAGGTGATTTATGATGATGACTAGGCTTGCTAATGATGTTTCATAGTGGAGATGGAGGTGAACAGCAGAGCTAGCCAAGTCATTTGAATTTAGGGATGATTGTGGAGTTTGCTTTGGTGTCTCCGGCACCTCAGTGGCATGAGTGGTCCACTTAGTGGCCAGACAAGATGTTTCCCTCTTTTCGGCCGAGGCGGCAGACGAAAGGAACTTTTGGTCCTTCTTTTTTTAGTACGGGGTGTGCCACTACCAAGCCTTGAATTTGGACTTGAATGGAATGTGAATAGATGGATGTGTTGCGCTTCTAACTTCTGACCAAACGATTGATCGGCCAAGCATGGAACCTCCTCTTGGCCTAGATTCTTTCACTTCCTCGGGCTCGAGGATGGCTAGGTTTCGTACGGATGTTTTTTGTGATTTTTTAGGGTTTTAAGTAATAATAATGCAATTAAACTAAATATGCGTATAAACGTAAAGACAAGAATTGAGGTGCGATAAAATAAATCAAAGCGATAAATAAAGCAAGAATGAAATAAAAGCGATAAGAACGTGTTTAGGGGTGGTAGAAATCCACCTAATCCAGGCAAAAGAATTGGCCGGGCTGCTGAGATGGTCCGGCTGAATCTGCTGGAGGATACATCCAGACAAGTTCGAATGTGGTAGAAGTGATTGCGACCGAGCTTTGGCTAGAGATTGCGGCCAGGAGCTAGGAAAAATGGGTAGAGAAATACGGCTGGGCACTAATTGACAAAATGTGGTGGCCGAGATTTGGAGCCCGATTTCGAAGGAGCTTGGCGGCCGAAAGCACGGTTTGAAGGAGTGTCACGACTGAGATTTGGAGCTGCTGGAATATTGTAGACGGAAGCTATTGGGACATTGCGGCTGGAGGTCTTTGGATTATTTTAGTGTGCGGCCGAAGCTTGGGAGCCCTTTGCAAATTAGGCTGAAAAGTCTTTGTTTTATTATATGTATATGCATATATATAAAATAGGTGGATGAAAGAACCAAATGTGGCTAGGGCCCTTTTGGTGGTCTGCGAATTGGTTGAAGGATTCACAGGTCAAAAATCTAATTGTTATATATAATATATATATATATATATATATATGTGAGTAAATGTCACACATGCGGCCGATGCCTAGGAGTCCCAGCAAATATGTGGCTGGAGTGCTTTCTATTCAAAGCCCTCCCTTTTCTTTCTTTTTTTTCTTTTTTTTATATTGATATAATATTGTTAAGGCCCAAATATATTCCTGGCCCAATGCGATACTTGACCGATAAGAAATCCAATTTGGGCACGTGCAAGTTTGTCATACACGCTTGCACAAGCCACGACCACATGCCACGCTAAATAAATATGTCATCTGGCACACTAAGAATTGAAATGGGCCTATAAAAGGCACCGACTTTACAAACCCATGCTAGTTATCCCGTCAAGCATCATAATTGAAAAACATGCCAAGCGACATGTCATGCCAAGCGGGAAATCATTATTTCACACCCAACCACGCTACAAGCCTAAGTGGGCCCAAGCCACTTAAATGCCCGGGGCTTGCTTGAGTGGGTTGTGGTATGGATGGTAATAAATCGACATGAGACCCATTGATGGGCCAAGAAATGGAAGTCTCGGGTTGCTTGGGAGCCTCGAGACTCAAGCTCATTTCTTAGGCCCAAACATGTGGGTGAGCACAAAGGAGGAAATAGCCCATTAGCTTAACCAAATTAGCCCAACACCACAACAAAAATAGTCCAACACTTGTTGAGGTTAGCCCATTTATTTTGACAAACCACCCATTATCTTAGAAGGCTCATACAATTAGAAAAGATAAGAAACCAAAGCATCAGCTCCTTGCTGAAAAAATAGAAGCCACGTAGGGAGCAAGATGTCCACATATGCAGAGCTGCTGGAAGGCTCCAGCACATGGGAAGGAACAATTTCCAAGCACATAACACCCAAAGAACCAAGGGATATTAACGTGCAAGCTGCCGGAAAGAGAAACACCCTTCGAACCAGCATACATACCCCAATTCCTTCCCCCATCAAACCTAGCCATGGAAAAAGGAAAGAAAGAAAAGAA